CACATGTATATATAAAACTTGTATAAAGAATAACTGTTTGTCAGATAACTTCCCTGTAGTTTTTAAATATAAATTTTAAGGGGTACATTTAAGGGGTATAAAATATATTATTTCACCTGGATCATCAAGTGCAACATTTTACGGTATCAATTGTCTTACATTATCAATTATAAACAGGGTAAATGATTGTGCTCATCACATAATTGTCCCGGGTGGGAATCGAACCCACGACCTCTGACTTAACAGTCAGCATCGCTTATTACTAAATATACCAATAGCTTAATACTTAATACAATAAAATATATATATTTTTTTATATATTTAAAAAACATTTCTTTGTCAACAATCCGTTTCAAAAACAGATTATTTATTTCATAGCGTTTTTAACACTTAAAATACAATTTTAACACCAATAATATATTTAGATATATTTGTTTACAAAAATATTTGAATTTTACATAAATTTTGGACGTACATTTAAATATGGTTAAATATTTTTTTAGTTTTATCTTGAAGGCCGATTCTCGTAATAAAAATTCATATAAAATTCTATTTATTAAAAATAGTTGAACCGACTTCAAACAATATTAACAAAGAGCACTAAAAACCTAGCAGCAATCGCGGTTGTCTCCGAAACTCATTATCAGATCTATATGAAATTTAAATGGGACAATAGGGAATATGCACGTGACACCAAAATGGGCAAAATATTTTTATTTGTAATTTTTATTGCTAAAAAAGATACCTATACAATTATTTTTGAAATTTATTATAATTTAATAGTGAAATTTAATCATCAAAAATTGGCTTTTTTAAGATTCCCTCGCAAATTTCTAAAACGCAACGCTATTGGTTGAATAAAACGTGACGTCAACCTACACTGTCAAGAGTGTCAACAAGTTGTGTGTCAGTGTTAAATCATTAAATTCCCGTTTAGAAAGACTCAACACAATGACTGAATATACTTTGTCAGGTGCAGTTTTGATATTATTTGGGCACAAAGGAACGGCACAATATTTATAATAAGTTTTTATTGGCTTTTCCGTCGTAATAAGTTAATTTTTTATCACTCACTTTTTAACTTTCACAAACTTTGTGAACTTCACTCCGTTGTTGACATCGAATTCGTCTGAAAGTGTAATCGGACGTCACAAAAAAAGCGCGCCAAAATGGACGTGTTCAAATTGCCCCAAAATGATAGTGATTTTAATAAATTTTTATTTGCTTAACGGTTTATATTTCGGCTGTGTTATATTTATTTTTGGTAATGTAATAACTAGTAGAATCGTTTAAAAAAATAAAAAAAATACATGCATATTCCCTATTATATTTGACGGAGTTGTGCCCGAATATACATAAAAAAATAAACATCCGAATTGATAACCACCTCCTTTTTGAAATCTTTTAAAAAGGTATTTTCCTAGTAAAGTATTACTAAGACTAGCAGAATACCGATTCAACTTTTACTCCGAATACGACATAATCACATTACAGTCAACGTTTGACGTTTAATACTTTACGAAAATACCTTTTATAACAGTTGTGAGATCGAAAGTTGATCGGAAACTAATCTTGAACGAATTTTTAATACGAGAATTGATCTTCTGATTCGTATTTTAAATACTAATGGAGATTACCATATTTATTTCTACATTCACAGATTGTTACAAAAAAGTTTTTGTAAAAAACTGTTTAAGATAAAAAAAACTTTAATGTATTTGTGTGTTTTTTTTTGGAAATATATTCAGAAAAAATCTGATATTCTATAAACAAGCTTATATATTAAACACATATTCGCGTGAGCCCTTTCTAATACGAAATAACATTGTTGTGATGTTCAATTTATAATTAGTAGATTCCGATACAATGAGCATTATTGGGAAAATGATTAGAGAAATTAGGGTTGGAGTATGGCAACCCCAACCTATATTCAACTTTGAATTTTTAAATCTCTTAACGTACAATATAGTACAGACGCCAGAGGCGGGGGGGTAGGGAGGGGAACCTGTAGCAAAATTTTTTGACCCATTCAGAAATTCCTGTGGCATAGTTTGTGGATGAGCATTTCTAAAGATATGCTAAGACAACCGTGGTGACGGATTAAGAATACGGAGTGTCACTACCCCTATTCATACCGTGGGTGTCGTAAGAGCCGACTAAGGAAGCAAAATACGCAAGACAACAGCAATGTAAAGAGAAGGTAAACTTGAAACAAACCCTATACCTACCCCTCTGGCCAGCGTGGTGGCCAAAACCTTCTTTTAAGGAGATGCCTATGTCCAGCAGTGGACTATTAAAGGCTGATAATGTGATGTGAAGACAACCTTAGAACTGAAACACCATTGTCCCTATAATGCTCTGTTAATACCGAAGAATTATTTTCCATAAATACATATAAATGTTAAGTTAGTTTGTGTATGCTGCAAAAACTCAAAAATGTCTACACCGATAGAGTTCAAACAAGACCAGGTGTACATCCAGGTACATTTAAATAAGCCAACATGTGTGTAAAAACGTTTATAACAGGCGAGTATAATTAAAAACTACAGTTACACTTATAATATATTGTGTATATAACAAAGGTTGGGCCCTAATGCTTTGTACATCTCTTTCTTACAAATAATAATAATATTCTACCACATTGACACAACACCATCTAGTCTCAAACTAAGCAGAGCTTGTACTATGGGTACTAGACAACTGATATAAATACATATATACCTTTTTGGTAGAAACACCCAGACCAAATCAAACATTAAATGTTCATGCACACAAATGTTTGACATGAGCGGGAATTGAACCCGCAGCAGGAATAGCAGTCCAGTACATAAACTACTACGCCATCCGGTCGTCAAAAAAGTATGAATTGTCAATTCTTCATTACTCAATTTCCCATCCTTAGTGGTGGTATTTTTTCCCCAAATTTGAATTAAAAATTATCCCAATCGATTCATAATATACCTATGGTAAAAATAAAATATAATACAATCGAATTGAGAACTTCTTTTTTTATAAAATCGGTTAAAAAGAATACAAAATATTTTTTCACGACTGCGGGTAGTGAGTAATTTTGGTATTCTTAAGTAATTTAAGAGATAGTGGGGAGTATGGTCCCATTTTTTTATCTTTACTGTATTTATGACAACACTATTGTATGTCAATTTCATATATTTTTATTAGGTGTTTTTTTTTTGACAATCGCAAACAAAAAATCATGTTATTTAAAAAAATATTAACTTCCCTTTCAGATAGTAAGTAAGCACATTTTGTACTTACATTGTCATTTTTTTTTACAAATGTTACTAATTTTATTACTAAGAGTTATTAGTTCTTCTTAAACGAGAGGTCGAAGCCAATAAAGTATACATTATAATTTTAAAAAATCCCAGCTCAAAAAGCCTTTCAAACGATTTACAGAGAGTTTATAATCTTAAAATGGCTGAACAGATTTTCATGAATCATAGCTAAGAAAACTATCGATCGAGCCTGAACCGAAATGGTTTTATCCGTTTAGGAGCTATAATGAAACAGGCAGACAAATTTATACACACACATTGAAGTTGTACAACTTTTGTTTTTTGCGTCGAATTTAAAAACAAAATAAAAGGATTTTCCTTTTTTCTCACTCGGCATTTTACAAAATTTTGGCAACACCTATTACATACTCTATCCCTGTCTATTGTTTACTGTAAGAAAGAGATGCAAATTTGTGTATACGAATAAGGGCCCAGCGTTTCACGCGACTCGTGGTACATTGTAATCTTATATAAAACTATATTTTTGGTCTGTATATAAATGTATATCAACTTACAACTATGTATTTTATAAAAACGATGACGTCACTGCGGGTCCTTGTTGATTTTTAAATCGAGGACACCCTCTGTAAAAAAACACATTAATAATAATAACAATTAACTTTAACAAAAATGAGACCAACTTCAATGTTATGAAATTTATTTTTCAGCCCTTAATTTTCACCTGTGGCGACTTCCACATAAACAAAGAAACCTACTACAACGCCATCTAAAGAATAGGCACCGAACTACGTAGTAGGCACCGAACTGCTAATCCTGTATCACGATATGAAGAATTCTCACGCCGATTAGCATATATACACTTCCCAAAATCAAACGTCGGGCCGTGGCCCGCCAGGCATGCTCGCCTGTTCGTAGAATCCTCATTTTGTGTTGGACGGACATAATCCCGTTCCTCCACACAACCTTAGGGGTAGAAGTTTTTTTCAAATTTAAATAGGACCGAATGTAAGTCTTTTAAAATACAGAAGAGATTTTTACAGGTAATAAACATAGAAAAAATACATAGAACCGAATTAAGAACCACCAGTTTTTTGAAGTCGGTTAAAGATGGTCAACCGGTGTTGTAAGAGCCGACGAACACCGGTTGACAACAGCACTGCAAAGAGAAGGAAAACTTGACACAAACCTCTTTTTTTTACGTGTGGAAACCCCCTCGGGGTTTGCGGCGGAGTGGTGTGTAAAAATTGGACCGACTAAAAACGACCAAAACCACACGGTGTTCCACTCTGCGCTTCTAATAAAAAGGATCAACACCTCTGGCTAGCGTGGTGTAGTAGGGCAAAACCCCCTTTTTAAAAAGAGGCCTACGTCCAGCAGTGGACTGTAAAAGGCTGTAAATGAATAAGAACTCACCATTAGCATCAGAATAAACATAAGTAATTCTTCTCGGCGCTAGCTGTTTTCGGCCATGACTTTTTCTCCTACCCTCTTTCAAAGACAAATTCAAAACTCCATTGTCACTCTCTAACAGCTTCATCTCACTCTCACACAACACCATACTCTTTATTTCCGAACTCAACTTTTCGTTTGAAATAAATACAGTCTTCGCAAAAACCTTTTTTTTGTCCGCATCATTTTTAAAAATATGATTCACACTCTGTTGTACCAGTTTGTCGATTCGACATTCGAAAATATTTTTTGTAGCGTGTTCGAAAATTTTCGAATCCGCGTTCTCGAACACTTTCAAATCCGGGTTTTGAAAATTTTCGAAGCCGGACTTTGGAATTTTTTAGAATCGGTGTTTTCGAAATTTTTAACGTCTGTGTTTGAGAAAACTTTTGATTCAATGCTTTGCACGGAGTTTTTGTTTGTGTTTTCGAAGCACTCTGGGAGGAGCGGTGTTTTTGTTTCTGTAACGGTAACAATTTTTGGTGGAGTTTTGGGAGATTCTAATTGTGTTATTTCTACATCTATGGATGGCACCTCGGAGGTGTCAGAGCGATCCTGGAGTATCTGAAATGAAGTAAATCTGAAATTATATTGCGAACAAATTATACGTTTAAGGTAGCCTTTAAACATTTCGAGTTAAAGTAATGGGGGTTCGGGCTTATTCCGAGAACTTATTCCGTATCCGAGTTCTGACTTATTCCGTGAAAAGCAATGAAAAAACTGTTTAACGCCAGATTCTTCTATCACTCTGGTTGAGCCAGTCCATTTCTGCCAAAGCTTGGCTCTCCCACGGCAGATTTCCCCTTCCCACGATTTCGACATTTCGACTGCCTCGGTGCAGTGGTAGCATACGCGACTACTGTGCTGAGGTCTCGGGTTCGATTCCCAGGCGGACCAAATGTTTGTATGATCTACAAATATTTGTTTCGGCGTTTGGGTATTTTCTATGTAATATGTATATACTCACAAAACAAAAGTATTAGAAGTATTCTATCAGTCAATCTAGCTTTCATAGTACCAGCTGTGTTTAGTTTGAAACTAGATGGCGTTGTGTGTCAGATGTCCGATATATTATAACAACAGTTTATACACCGCCCTAAGGTAAACTGGCTAAGAATGCATATGGCATTATACATTTTTGTGTCATCATCATCATCAGCCTATCACAGTCCACTGCTGGACATAGGCCTCTCCCATTGCACGCCACTTAGATCGATTATGAGCTTCTCGCATCCAGCTCCTGCCAACCATCTTGTGCAAATCGTCACTCCACCTGGCCTGTGGGCGTCCTACATTACGTTTGCCGAGACGCGATCTCCACTCAAGAACTCGTTTTCCCCAACGGTTGTCGGTTCTGCGGCTGATATGGCCAGCCCACTGCCACTTCAGCTTGTTTTTGTGTATAAAATGTTAATAATTTAATAATAATACCTTCGCACATCGGACACACGGCCGTTTGATCCTAAACTAGGCAGAGCCTGTACTATGGTAACCAGACTGCTGATAAACATACTTATATATTTCTAAATATAAACATATTATAAACTACACCAAAACACAGTAAATCGTGATTTTGATCATCATACAATTATTTCTCCTGGGTCAAAACAAAACGATCAGAATAAAGGTGCTGGTGGTTCAAATCAAAATAAACCCACCAAACACAGGTTCGAGTGTTATAATTGTGGAAGGCGAGGACATTTTGCTCGAGAATGTCGTGCTCCAAAAAAATCCAAGCCCAGAAAACCTCAACAGGAAGGTGCAGATTTATTAGCGTTCAATGTAGAAACCAGTTTTAATACAACTGAAGAGAATGCTTGGATTTTAGACAGCGGCGCAATCGAACCCACCACCTCTGGCTTAGTAGTCAGGGTCACTAACCACTAGATCAACAGCACAGTCAGTAGTTAATAAATAAATAAGTTATACTATAAGTACCTGGACCAGATATCTTCTGAGTCTAATACACTTGTCCCTCACAGTGTCTCTCTGAGTGACGAGGGCTCTCCTCTCTGATAGTGCATCGTCCCTGCAAGCTCTAACGGCGCGGAGCTCACGGGCCAGCCGGCGAAGATGCTCCACGTTGCGGCGACGACTATTCTGAGAAGCCAGCTGGAAATGATATTCATATTCTTGCAAATTTTTTACAGCGCCATCTAGATCTAAACTACATAGTGTACACCAGTTTTTTCACAGATATCATCAACAGCCCTTAGCAGTCCACTGGACATACCACTGGCATCTCCTTAGAAAGGAGGTTTAGGCCTAATATACCCGGGTTGCTATAGAGGTTGTTTCAAGTTTTCCTTCTCTTTGCAGTGATGTTGTCCTGCGTAGTTTGATCCCTTAGTCGGCTCTTACGACATTCGCTGGATGAATAGAGGCGGTGACACTCCGCATTCTTAATCTTATACTAATATCATAAAGCTGCACGGTTTGTATGTTCGGTTAAAGCTTTTCTCAAGAACTACTGGTTGGAATTGAGGAATTCCTTTTATGTTGGATAGCCAATTTCTAGAGGAAGGTTATATGCTATATAACACCATGCTAAGACCAATGGGAGCCAAGCATCAATGCAAAATATTGCTAAAACGAGGAATATTTATTCCTTTTCAGAGACGCCGACGAAATTGTGGGGGTCAGATAGTATTATATAGAAAGGGCGATTGCCTGGTAGAGATGTTGTCGCAACCTTATAGACTAGAATCCTTCAAAACTGGTTTGTTTGTTTTAAAAAGACAACGCCCGCGTTAGGAATATATCCTGTGTCGCGGGGGAAGTTACAAACAGACATAAAGAACATCCAGACTCAGAACAATTTGTGGATCACACAAAGTGTCGTCCCATGTGGTAATCGAACCCACAACACTCAACGTCCGTAGAAATGGTCCCATTTAAATTCCATATGGATCTGATGATAAGTTTCCGAGACAGACAACGGAACTCTTCATAAAATGACAGCAAATAAACCGCGATTACTGCTAGGTTTTTAGTGTTGTTTGTTGTTATTATTGTTTGAAGTCGGTTAAACTTCTTTTAAAAGGATTTCTCTTGTGGTAATGAACCACAATATATCGTTAGGACTGACTCGTTAATGTTTATCAATTTACTGTCACCGTTATAAACATACTCAGACTATGATTATTTTGATGCGTGATGTCACCGAGCGCGGGCCCTATCTAATTAATTGTTTGTTTTATTCTTTTGTTTAAAATAATGTAAAATAAATGTTTTTTTCCTCTTCTATGTTTTATCTCTAATTTTTTTTGTGTGTTGTGTAATACCAGCGCTGCAGTCCATCAGGTTGCAGCAATATGTTTTTTTTATATATAAAGACAACTCCCGCACTAGGAATAAAACCTGTGTCGCGGGGGACTTTACAAAGATATATGAAACGGACACAAAGGACACCCAGACTCAGAACAACAATTTGTAAATCACACAAAGTGTTGTTCCATGTGGGGATGGAACCCAAAACACTCAGCGCAGTAGGAAGCGGCGAGGAGACCGCTTAAACCACTGCGCTATCCGTACAGTCAATATGCTGAGATATACGCCTTTTCTGGACTTGCACAGGGCATTACAATTACTTGTGGTATATTTCTATTCTCTTTGTATTTTATTTTGTCTTAGTTTTTAATGTTCCGTTCGTCAAAAGGAAAAAATGGAACCCTTATAGGATGACTTTGTTGTACGTCTGTCTGTCCGTCTGTCCGAAATTTTAAATAAATATATTTTACACACATCTCACACACGGCGGGCTGATCCCAAACTAGGCAGAGTCTGTACTATGGTAACCAGACTGCTGATAAACATATTTATATATTTTAAATACATACATATTATAGATAAATTACACAAAGACACAGAACAAATGACCGTGCTCATCACACAATTATTTGTTCTGGGTGGGAATCGAACCCACGACCTCTGGCGTAGCAGTCAGGGTCACTAACCACTAGACCAACATGCCAGGCAATTTGGCAAGGGACATCTTGTTATACTACAAGCCCAAGGAAAAAACTGAAAACTATACATTTATAATTAAATAAATATAAAAATTGTATTTATTTACAGTACGTACTCCATTATCTAGGTACAATTTCTCTTATCACAATAATATAAGTATGTTTTAGGTTTTTAAAACTGAATTTCCGAAAAAGCTTGAAAAAAACTCGATTACTAAGCTATTTATAATATGTACCTACAAAGTAGTTAACCCTTGGTGGGCGAGTCGGACTCGCAGTTGTCCGGATTTTTTGTTTGTTTTTTTTATTTATTTTAATACAGTTGACATTTGAGGCATCCATGGGTGGCGGTAGACTCTTACCATCAAGAGACCTATCTGCTTGTATGTCCCCGTACCGATCATTTTTTTTAAAATTAGCAAACAATTCATGCGAAAAAAATCAGTCCTGTTGTCAGTAGTCAAGCAAGTATGTAGTAAGTACTTGGTTCGCGAGAAATATTCCCAAACCGCAGAACGTCTCGGGTTCCCTGCACCTCTAACCGCAATGGCTACTATAATTCAATACAATCTCACTTACTAACCAACATATTATGATCATAATCTTCTAAATATATAAAAATGTTAGGGTGGTTTGTGTATGGTTCAAAACCTTAAAAAGTTTTGCACCTTTAGGCTAAAATTTTGACACGATATACAACATCTAAAAAAACACGTTTTTGTAAAATGTTTAATAAAAATACAGTCATGTAGAAGAAGATTATTTTAACGTTAAAAAGCTTTGGGTGCTTTTTAAATATATTTTATTTTACAATGAAACCCTTCAGATCTACGGCTCTTTGGGGACTCAGACGCCACGAGAGTGTGATGTTTGCAGTAAAAACCACGGCCGACCGGCGCATACTCTAGGCAGGACCCGGACTATGAGATTTCAGGTCTCCCTCGAATCGACGCCGCACCTGACTAGGCCCTATCTCGTCCTAAGCCGGAGGCTTCTCCACGCTTATCACTAAACTAGCTGACCCGCGCAACTTCGTCAGCGTCTCTCAATAGTAATAAATTTTCTCCGTTTTTGAAACATTCTTCATTGGTGCTCCGCTCCTATTGGTCTTAGCGTGATGATATATAGCCTATAGCCTTCCTCGATAAATGGACTATCTAACACTGAAAGACTTTTTCAAATCAGACCAGTAGTTCCTGAGATTAGCGCGTTCAAACAAACAAACAAATAAACAAACAAACTCTTCAGCTTTATAATATTAGTATAGATATTGCGGCCTGATCACATTTTGGTGCGATCAGGCCCGCAACTCTATCCCCAACAATGTTTATATATAAAAGTGCACATAGATGACATGCTTTAACTATTAAAGCTGTAAAGTTCAACTTACCAGAGGGAGAAACACAGAGAACGAATAGCGTAACAGTGGTTTCCAGTGAGGCCCTGACCTCGTTGCATGGCATGGCTGTGCCGAAGCATGGTTCTGCCGCCACTGTTCCCCGGGAATCGCCACAGTACCGTTTATCTTTTAAGTTTTTGTTCAACACATACAAAAAAAGGAGTTTAAAGTGTTTGTGTCAAACTCACCCTATTCTTAATCCTCCTCCGCAGCCCTTTCAAGAAGGCCAGGTCATCTTCACTGACTTTCAGCGACTGCACCCTCTCGGAGTACTTGCACGTGGAGAGCCCGGCCACTTCCTCTACAGTCATGTTGATACCACGGGCTGGGGAACATTAACACTATTAAATATTTCAGCTGGTATCTCTGGTCTAGTCTAGTGGTTAAAGACCCTGACTGTCAGTCGCGCCGACTTGCGGAGACTTGTCGTCAGAGGTGGATTGAGGTTGTGCAGGATAACTTTTTTGCTATCTATTTTATTATAGCGACCTGTCCCGGCTTCTCACGTATGCAATGTAGATACTAATGTAGTGTCAGTGTAGCGTAATTAATTATGTTATTATTATGATTAGACTGTACAAGGCATGCCTTTTAAGTTTAGTTGTTTGAAGAAAAAACACAACTAGAACCTTATAGTACTTTTTATTGTTTTTCAAAATATTCACCACATAGCTTAATACACTTTTCCATTCGCTCAAACCAGTTATTATATCATTTATTCCACTCTAAAGTGGGGGTGTTTCAAAATGGCTGACTTGAAAGCGTCAACTACTTCTTCACCGGACTGGAACCTTTGACCACGAAGACTTTTCTTAAGTTTAGAAAATGTAAAATAATCGTTAGGGCCAAGACTGTATGGAGGATGGTCAAGAATTTCTACTTTTTCCTTCTGTTATTATAACCATAGAACCCTACATAGGGTGCTGAGGTAAATACATATCTCAGTTAGTTTATTACCCACAAATTTTGCACATCATTTTAGTTTGGTATTAAATTATGAAAGCGCTCGAGTTATATTTCTGGGTTCTTTTCAAGTGTTCAAAAGTAAATAACAAGCAAGACTACAAAAATTGGCCTAGAGGTCATTCATGAATATTTGAGTTAGGATAATGAAAGAATCCATTGGAATAATAATTCCAAAAACCTAAAATCCTGGAAGCACTGTTCCTTCATATAAGACACAAGGATTATGTGGATTTTTATTTGCAAGAAATGAAAGTTTGTACAATGTGTTCAAATTAAAACTAATTTTATATAATAAGGCTGATTTGTGATCTTAAGTTCCTAATTATTTGTAATAAAACATGTTTTCATTATTAGATTTTTTTATTTTAAGAATCACATTTTAGTATGGGGTACTCCACCACACCAGAGTAGTAATAATAGATAGTGATAATATACCAGAAGAGAAGCCAAGTTTTACAATATTTTTAGAAATTTTGATTGTGTATTCATGTAAATAATTTGTCAATTTTGGATTTCAAAGAACAAATCCTAAAACAACTAAATTTTTCTTGGAATAACTGATTCAGAATTATTTGTATTGCATTAATTTGGTAACAATATATTTAGAAGTAACTTTCTTCCACTATTTAAAACCATAAAAAAGTTTGTAGAAAAAAAGTAAATCGGATATTAAAAAAAAATTCAATTGTTTCATCATAACAACAAGCAAATAATTTATTACTTCATAATGAATGATCAAACTCATAAAAAAAAGACAGACAGCTGTAATGAACTACATTGATGTCATAACAACTCCTTTTAAAGCTAATGATTCATACCAATATAAATATAATATGTACATAACTTACTTTTGTGACTAAGTTTAACATTAGATAATTTTCACCCAATAAACCAGAGAGAACTAGAATTATTAAAAAATCATATCATTTTTTTGTGTTAAACTTTGGAATTCGAAATTTAAATATTTGGATGTTTTTAAAACTAATACACAGGATATCTAATAAGTTGTAACTGGTTTGGGGTAGTTGTGTAGCTTTCTACACAGTAGGATTCTTCTTAATATCTTCGATTCAACCTATTCTTTGGAGACAGAGAAAACTTTTAAACTTTTTACGTTATATTTCTTGTATACAATGCAAAATATTTCTGCGTCATATTGTCATAACACATTAGACATCTACCTGTTGATTTATCCCTACTAGAATTACATAAAAAAATAATACAATCATCATACCATCCAGTATTTCCTGGTCTAATTGGTACGAAGATATATTCTTCGCATTATCGTCCATTCTTCATATTTAACAGTTTGTTTTAAATATTTATTTTTATCAATATCTTTTACGTTATTGTACTAGTTCAGTAGGTTAGGATTTCGAAAGCTGTCAATGTCATTTCATCATGCAACTTTATAGTGAAGTCCGATTGAGAATCAGTTCACTTAGTCAAATGAGAAAAACGCAAAAATCGTATATTATAAATAATTTATGAACTGATGGTTTCTATTTACTTTTCTTTATCTTTTTTTTACTTTTTATAATGTTATTTGTGCTTCTTATTCTATTAAAGTTCTAAAAAATAGTTTAGGTTCTGTATAGAATTTCTAGTTAGATAACTAGACACCAAAAGTAAAAAAATTTGTGAAGTAGGTTTAGTAAAGTTATTTAAGTCACACAGAATGAAACACTAAACAATGCAAGTGATGCAATGCGAAGTACCTATTTAGGTTTTTTATTTTGTGCATATCTGTAGTTTTTTTGCGTATTACTCGTAATACGATTTAAACTTGTGGCGACAGCCCTAAGCTATTATTTTATGTCAGCATTTTCTGTACTAAGCCAGGCGGACGCAGAGACGCGACAGGCAGTCGGTTACAAGCTCCGATACCAATCGCGCGGCTATTCGCGCACCCGACTCCGCCCGCCTGGTTAAACCTTTCTGTGTGTATTTAATGTATGTGTCGTGTGATACAATAAACTTTAGTTAACTACCTAAATTGAGTATTTATTGCATCTCTACTCAACACCTCAGATAGGTAGTTACAAACTTAAAGGGATAATTATTAAATTTACTAACTCGACTAAAACGCCCGTTGAATGTCAAACGTCGCATGATATAATACTATGTGTTGTAAGTCTATGGTATCAATTGATTTGTTATATATCATAGATAGACATATAGACTTTTTTAACCTATGCGGCTGCGCGAACTAGTATTGATCGGCATGTCTGGCAGTTTTCAGTTCTTTGTTTAGTAGCCGGTACAGATTATTTGTAATTTTCACGTGTAAGTAACTGATAAAATCATTATTTATTTATTACGAAAAAATATCTGATAAATCATGTATATGGTCTCTATTTGTAATTTGTACTAAAATTAGGATGATGTATAAGTGCCATTACATGTTCGTTTTTTCAAAAAGGTTGGGCATCTGAAATTTCAAATTGACAACTGTTATATATTTTCTAAAAAATAATGAGCAGCAGAACATTAATGGTACTTTTGTCTGTCTTATTTAAATAAGATTACATTTTATTATGTTCCTTTTATATTAGTAGCAAAAAGATTTGTTATTATTATTTGTATCAAAAAAGAAAATAATGCGCCTTCTTAGTATTATTGTTATTTTGAGCGCGAATGTAATGCTTATTTTGCCTTGATTTGTGATTTCTTTGTTCTAAACAGGAGCATTTTTTATACCCTTGTCTATGCTAATCTTCCAATACTTGTTGTAATGTTTTTGTTTAGTTGTACATATTTTTATTTAGTTGTACAATTTTTACTTAGTTATACATTTTTTGATAATGTGGTATATTTTATATTTATTTGGTTTAGCGCTTAAAATTATAGTCTTAGAAATTAGTTATTTCTTTTATGTCTATTTTTTAAAAACATGGGCGTTTTAATCGTATTTGGTCAACAAGACATAAAAATACTATTAGCCAAATTAATACTATTTATTTAAGTGTAGGTCCCATAAAAAGTGATCACTCATAAGTGTAATTAGTGGTTAGTGATCCTGATTGCTACGTCAGAGGTTGTGGGTTCGATTCCCACCCAAAACAATTAATTGTGTGATGAGCATGATCATTTGTTCTGTGTCTGGGTGTTATTGATCTATAGTATGTATGTATTTAGACATTTACAGTAGTACAGACGCTGGCTAGTTTGGGATCAGACGGCCTTGTCTGAAATGTGTGAAAAATATTATAAATATTATAATGAAAGTTTATTTCTAATAAATTAACTTTCAAGCTCTAATTACATTAATTCCTTGCTCATCATCCAATATTCAAGATCATCCATGACTTTCCAAACTCATTTAAAGTTTTTACACTCTTACATGAGTAAACCGGAATATCGGTTTGAAAAAATAATGAATTACGAGTTTTAACATCTCCTTTGCAAATACATACTGAAAATTGCTATTAATATATATTCCAGGCTTTATATACCTTTTGGCATAGGTTTCCTCTAACACTTTTTATTAGCATCAGATGTAATGCTGTCCGTAAAACTGTCTCTTCCATACCATAAAGTAAAGCCATAAAGCTTAAATATCTTTTGCTGTATAACCTGTACAAAACAGCATGTTATTTATCCAGCTCACACTTTATGATCCATATTTTCTACTAGGACCTGTAGTATAAATTGTAATGTCTAAGCTGTAGGTCACCAGTCTAGGTGTGACACCTCATATGTGAAGAGACTAAGAAAAACTATTACACATCTTTCATTATTTTACTAATTTTAAACTAAAGTAATATAACCTTAATTTAAAAAAAAACTAAAAACAACCAATTTAATTATTTTAATATGTATTTATATTTTTAAAATAATTAGTTTGATTCACAAAAAATAGTAGCTTCGGTAACATGACGATAATGGGTGTATTCAACGTGGTATGGACGTTGGCACCAGAAATATTAGTTACGTAGTGTAACTTTGAGATGGATGCAGATCTGACCTACAAACAAGCCAAAATTGCAGTGTTAATACTAAATACTCAAACAAACAATATAGTTTTAACAATAAAAAACCATTTTTTTGTAAAGATCAAAACTTTATTACATTTTTGCAGTGCATTATTAATATAATATTACCTGAACACTACCATGTTAAAGACATCAGAAACCTCTATACTATGAATTCAAATACCGAATTGAGAGGACACTCATTAAACCTTACCAGGTCTGTTAGAAACCTTAGAAGACTCTAAAAAATCGCATGGTGACCATTTAGAAATGTTTACCCGAAAGTGTAATTAGTACTGGATCAATGTACATTTATAAAAACAGACTAAACAAAAATTAAAAAATTAACAAAACGAACACTGCGCAGTGATATGCACACATTAGATCTATGATCTGCTAGTGCATTGTAGAACAATAATTATTATAATTGGATCAGTGAGTGGATTGGGTTGTTTTTGCAGAACACGGTTCAGTTGATAACTCTTCTCCTCAATATTTTATAGACTTTCTATGTTGATAATGTTAAAAAATAAATAAAAATCTGACCGTTATTTTACAATCAGTTCTCAATAGCATTTATTTTTAACTCTAATGGAAATTTATGAATGTGTAACAATTTGTATGGTTTAAGATACCTAGAAAAAGAGATTTATTATTATTATTACTATTATAATTTACTTTTACACAGCACAATGACGAGTCGAGGCCGTAGTCTTACACATGCAAGCGAGTGGGACTCGCACGAGGACTACAACGATTCTTTATATGAAACACAGTATGCTGATGATAGTGCAAGGTAAGTAATCAATTTGGTTAAATTCTTTACTTTTACAATCACAAATGGTAGAGAATCATAATAATCTTTTTGCCTCGTTCCGACTAATCTGGCGAACAAACTATCTTCTGCTATATTATCGGATCGATACAACGTTCAAACCCCCAAGAAAAGGGCGTACTCCTACTAGGCCGGCAGTGCGCTTGTCATTCCTGAGTTGCAGGCGTTCATGGACGGCGGTAGTCACTTTCTATCAGGTGACCCGTTTTCTAGTTTGACCTATATATTATGAAAAAAAAACGCTGAGTGCAGTTCTTGTTATAAAAAAATAATAGTAGTTCCATCTCTGGATAATGCAGCGTCAACGTCATCATCTTCTTGCCCTCTTGCCAAATTTATTTGGGAAAAGGGGCAATGAGTTCTTCCATTCTTAGCGCAAGACTCGCGAAAGGTCTAAATCTAAAACAAAAGGTCGTAATCTTTGATAAAAAGAATTTTGATTGATTTTAATGCCACTTATCTTTGTCCATGACGAAATCACAATCACATGTGAAACCACTGTGACTAAAACGAATCATTTCATCAAATGAATATGATTTAAAAACAGCAATCATTTCCATGTCGCGTTTTTTACACAGTCCATCCGCCTTTTCTTTGGTCGTTTTCTACTCATTTTCTAAAAACTGTAAAGATAAATATATAATTAGCAGTTCCTTTATAAAATAAAAATATAGTCATTCTCTCTCATTAAAAAAATCACTACAATATGAAAGTCTTTTAAAAACTGTTTATTAATAATATAAAAATAATTTATGTAGCACTATGTAAAGAAAATTTTATGTTCTTCTTTAATAACCCTTCTTCCCTAAACCCTTCTTGAAGAAGTATGGCGTAAGAAAGTATATTTGGAATACTCGATGTTTTATATGTAGAACAAGTATGTGCACTAACCTACTATTTTTCCTCCCTACTATGAACCCTCCTTCTTCCGCAGTCAGCTAACAAAATGTACTATAAGTGTATAATAAATGAAATAATAATGGCTGCATAAGACTAAAAGGGTCCAGTTCAGTATATATGTATGATTTGACATATCTGGTACAAAAATCCCTGACAGTGACACTTTACGTGGCAGCCCACTGAACCATTACCCCGTTAAAGGAAATATTTTGCGCCGATGATAACAATGCTCCCAAGGCTAGAGAAAGCTTATGGCGTAATAAGTTCCCCTCTCAACTTTCGTCTCCTTGGCAGAAAAACTGACTCCAGGAGATAAACTCCCTGGCCAACCTAGATCATCCAAGGATAATATGTCAAGGTGGGGATTTATCGACCCGACCGCAAATAAATGCGACGACAGATAATTTGCTAACATATCCGGCGAGCCCAGAAGCATTCGCGTCGCCGAGCACTGGGCCAAAACCGTTTAGTGTTGCCATCCACACGATAAGAAGAAGAAGACGTTGTGCTCTTCTGCCATTCTGATCTTTTGACAATTTGCTGCTTATTTGTCATCTTGCTCTTTTGACCTCATGCCCCAAAACTTTTCAAACATCCATCCAAACCTTTTCATTTATAATGCTAGTAATATTACAAACAGAAAGCAATTATTCTTGCAGCGTTACTACAAACTTGGATCATTGTCGTCTTTATATCACAAACATTCCGAGGGGCCTGAATGACGAGGGTCTGAGGACAGCATTCTCCAAGTTTGGGACTTTAGTTGAGGTCTACCTCAGCAGGGACCCGTTGAAGAAGTACGGACTTCTCAGCTATGAAACACCTGGGTAAGTTTCTAGGATAAGTCTGCGGTATTTTCGAACCAAACTACCTTTAAAGATTTAAGAAAAGAGCGTACTCAGTATTGGGCTGCAAGTGTTTTAAAAACCTAATAATCAAGATTGTATCGCAGATGCCAAAAATAACTAACAACTAGTATCAGAGTGCCTGACACAACTATACAAAAGCACATATGATCACACACATACCTACCCTCACACACGCGTGTCTCTCACAAACAAGCAGACACGCACTCGACAAACACACGACCGCACACAGACATAATACTTACCTGACACATGCTACAATTATAACACACACAATAAATGTATAAACATGTACGCAGTAGTGAATGAAGGTTCACTTTTGTTTACTTATTCTAATATAGTCCTAGATGCAAATTTAATGGCGGCTCTGAAGTTAGCTGCGCACTGAGTCGACGAATATGCGCGCATGTACGGATGTAACTCACATACTAAAATGCATGTGTGTCGTGTGTCGCCCTGCCCCCGCGCTCCTTTACGTCCCGCTGCTATCTAATATTCCGTATCTAATATTCGTTCCAAGCCGCCATTAAGTTTGCATTGGACTATACCTGATATATTGTGTACTTGTACTAATAATGTCAGCTGTGAAGTACCTAAATAAATAAAAAAAAGAAATCTAGTGATGCGTCTGTTCATTTAGCCCCTATTTAGATTTATTAATCTTAAAAATTAATAGTATTTACATTTATTAATCGTATAATCGTCTCGGATAGACACTAAAATTGAAGAATGGGACAGCTTATGATTTTATTAAAAATTATCAAGCTGTTGTCTGTGATTTCACTTACGTAAAAGTAATTGACGATATATTCTAAAGGTCGCGGGTTCGATTCCCGCTCAAGTCAAACATTTGTGTTCATGAACATTTAATGTGCGATTTGGTCTGGGTGTTTCTATGTATAAATATATATATATTAGTTATCTAGTACCCATAGTACAAGCTCTGCTTAGTTTGGAACTACATGGCATTGTGTGAATGTGGTAGAATATTATTATTATTAATTATTCCATTCCTTTCGAACTTTTTTCTGAATGATAGATACGTCCTGATTGCTGTATTTCTGGTAAGGATGGGTCTACAGGGGGGCGATGGGGAGATTTTATGACCCCTTAAGTTAAAAGCTAGGGTCCGCCCGTACCGGGGTGGCGCTCGCTTCCAGGGAGCAGAGGGAACATGGGGTTCCCACACGGGGGGGGTCGTCTACTTGTTGTAGATGGCCCGAGGTATGTCGGGGCACCAGGGACTTCCTTTCTAGGGTATACCTGGTTCCCCGGCTATTAGTACCCGAGACGGCGTGCGGTTTTAGTCGGTTCGAGTCCGTATCCGAGGGGATTTCCGCACGGAAAAAAAGGGTCCGCCCGTAATACGTATATGTCAAATTTCTTGGTGATCAACTGACGGAATCAATATATGGGATAACTTTGAAAATTTTGTTTACAGTGAAGCGAAACTAGCCATGATGAAGATGAACAAGACTGAACCTTTGAAATTAAATATCAACATTGCTCGCAAGGTAACCATAACATGTTCACATCAACAGCCTTTAATAGTCCACTACTGGACATAGGCCTCTCCTTAGAAAGGAGGTTTTGGGCTACTATACCACGCTGGCCAGACGGGTTGGTATAGGGTTTGTGTCAAGTTTTCCTTCTTTTTGCAGTTCCTGCGTTGTTTTGCGCCCTTAGTCGACTCTTACGACACCCACGGGATGAATTGGGGTAATGACATTCCGTATTCTTAATCCGTCACTACACGGACATGTTCGCCTCTTTTATATTTATGTATAACTTTATGCACTTTTATACATCAGCGGATTTTATATCTTTATGACTAAGCCATAGTGGCATAGTACGATGGTCCGATTCACAAGCTGAATTGAACTATTCAACAATTTCTGAAAGTTAATTCTCGTAATTAAAATTTGTTCCAAATTCAGTTCCGATCTACACTCGATCTAACAAATGTCAAGGTGTGTTCGTAGTAAACTGTAAAGTATTACTAAGACTATCAGAATACAATATTGTATCACTAGCTGTCCCGGCAAACGTTTACGTTTTGCCAAATACATTATTTCAAAAAAAAATGTCGAAAAAAAGAATTAGGTGTATGAAAAATAGATGTTGGCCGATTCTCAGACCTACCCGATATGCACACAAAATTTCACGAAAATCGGTCGAGCCATTTCGGAGAAGTTCAACCACGCACACCGTGACACGACAAGTTTATATATTAGATTAACAGAACGTTTAATACTTAATTAAAATACATTTTATGATAATTTTGGGATCGAGAGTAGATATCAAAATATTTTTTTTTAATGAATTTGATTACGAGAATTAGTCTTCTATAAGGTTTTTGTGGGTCCTTTTCAACTTTTCATAAACTTCTGAACTACCCACATTAGCACCACAACAGTTTTTATCCCTTTTTAATAAAATAATTATTTGAAACAATAGTAATATGTCTATGTGTAAAGAGTATCTCTAAAATGAAAATATAGTAACTACGCAATCGTTTAATAATTTTATTGTGCGTGTGGACGCCAAAGGGTGTTGTAGCGGGACGGTGTGTCGGAATTAGGTCGATAAAATGCACACTGCGCCTAAAATAAAAGTATCCTGAAAATAAAAAAAAATAAGATATCCGAACATTTTAGCACCTGCCCGTAAAAGCGCGGGCACCATTTCGAGTAAATCCTCTTTTTTAAGAAAAGTCCAGCGACACGTTAACGCGATAGGCGGTCACTGTGACGGATGGAGACGAAAACTCGTGATGGCATGGATCCATAACAATCCGCTAAAAATCATCTATCCGCAACAGATGTTTTACTATTAGCAGTCACAGTGGTGCAGGACAGTGCAGGTACATCCCAAACCTGACAGCCGCTACCCGCCCGGAATTCAGCTGTCGGCGCCATAGACACGGCCTATTCTTGGCTGTCAAAGTCTCCGCCCACACCGGTACTACGTACAGTGCCATTGATATAGATACAGAGTCACGTCTCGTCTGTATGCATGTATAGTAGTGTAGTAGTAGTGTAATTGTTTTATGTCACAGGCTAGCAAGAAGACCAATGACAAACCGCGTAAGGAGAGGCAAAATAGGTCCAATAACAATAACACTGGACGAGATAGAAACAGTAACAAGGATGAGAGTGGAAGTGTTGACAGCAAGGGGATTGGATCCAGGTAAGATTATCGTATGAATGTAAGAGCCTGGATAACCTTAAGCTTATACTTAACTGCACGAATGGCGTAGTGGTTTAAGCGGCCACTTCGCCGCTTCCTTACAGTGTTGTAGGTCCGATCCCCACACGGGCTAACACTGCGTGATCCACTAATTGTTGGTCTGAGTGTGGGTGTTTTTTGTGTCTATTTCGTGTATGTTTATAAGTCCCATGCGAAACGGGACACATTCCTAGTAAACTTGCCTTTGAAAATATCTGTGTTTACCTACCTATGATCCACAATACAGAAAACTACCTATTACTATATTTGTGAAGGATCAAATCGACATGTTTTTCTGGATAGACGTATAGAATGGTGTGTTTCAAAGTAGAATATAAATCCAAAAACAAATAGGTATAACGTCAATAAAATCAGTAAAAACTCAAATAATAATACAATATGAACAGGTGATGTTTGACTCCTGGAAGTCACTACTCATCTCGGATTCATTGCTTTATAGTGTGTAAATATTTTTATCCGATAACAAACGATAATTTTCTTATAAATCTCTCACCTGAGGGGTGAGGGGTCTATGGACGGTAGACGTTTACCATAGTGTCGGAAAAAAGGCCATGTTACGCATTTTTCAGTCTAGCTCCAATCCGCTCAAAGCGTGTAACGCGCGAAAAGGAACCTCGTTCCAGTAAACACAGCCATCAACTTTAATCAGTAGTAAGTTTATCTACACTTTTAGTCGAACCTGTGTAGATGTCATCTACTTTGAATTATTTTAAATTGTTTAAGTTGAATAATCTAAAATACCAATTTCTTTAATTATCTATAATAGTGAACACTTACGATGTTAATTCAAATTAAAAAACTAGAACTTTCTAAGAAAAGAACTGATTTTAATGGACCATTTTTTTTTAAATTAAATTTGTAAAAAAAAACATGATTAGCCAAACTCGACGAGAAGACTTATTTTAAACTGAACAATACATATAAATTTTAGTTTGCCTTTCTTTAGCCAGTATCGGATCATTTGGCTGTATGAGTTTTTATCTGTGCCTTTTTTATATTTTTAAAATAGACTAGTCATCAGCCAATCGTTATTTAAATTTTGATTTAGGCGCCTTAAATATGCGGCGTATAGGCCAATCACAAATAGTAGACTTTTGAAAAAAAAAAAACTTTCTGATTGGAGAAAGATATTTATTATGAAAAGACAGCGTCGAAATGAGAGTGAAAATTCTTCGCAAATTCGTTAGTTCTGTTTAAAACGTATCGTAACGTAAACGTAACGATTAATTTGTAATTTGCTATTTGGTGAGTGTAAAAGTTTTTTTGTAATCAAATTTCAAGTCGTCAAGTTGTCATCCTAGTGTTTTATTTTTGAAACACGATTTGTTCAGCCATGCTTTTGAATAAGTATTTTTCGTCGATTCAGCAAGCTGAGCAGTAAGTTGATATAACTTTTTTGTTTATTTAAAAAGACATCAATATTGTTACACAGAGTTCGTTTTATTTAATTATCTACCTTCAGTACTTTAAATATTTACATTTTGTTCAAAATGAGAAGTATATTTTTATTAAAGTGGCGGTCGGTTCGCTAACTTTCGTTGGATTTATTTTATGTATTTAAAAAACTAAAAGTGAAAAGTTAAGCTGTAAATAGGTTTTATTTACGAATTTACAACAAAGATGTTAGATCATTTATCCTGTTCGTAGCAATGTTTCTGGATAGTTCCGTTCTTTTTTTAAAATACCTACATTTAAAGTTTTAACCTGGTGAATTGTTGTACCTGATAATATCCTCAAACGTAAGTTTCTCAAGCAAATTTAGTTTAAATGATATTCGAATGAGATTTAAGGTATTGTTATTAATTGCAAGGCGCAATTATTTTCATTAAAAAGTCACTCATAGGTTCCAAAATTATTGGTTTAAATAGAACTCCATCGAATAAGAGATACTTTCAAATGTTTTATACCTAATACCTATTGAACTACATTAAATCAGGATAAGGAGAAAAGACCGTTGCTTTACATATTTGTCAATAGAATAGAATTTGGTTAGGTAGAGGTGTAACACAGAAGCCAGTGGAGGTGAGCGCTGACGCGTCGCAAGGAGTAAGAAATAGGTCTTGATATATGTCTGGACTGAGGCAACTGTGTACTCAAACCTGTTACCCTTGGACTGCAAGTGTCTATAAGCAGCTGTGGTCACATACCATCTGGTGTCTCTTCTGTATCACATGAAAATTGCATTTGAGACCTTTTTTGTTCTACTCTGTCTCTGTATGTATTGTGTGCCATAATTTTAGATTAATTAATTTATTTCAGGGCGCAAGAAAGTGCTTTGACTGATACAATGACTAACAATGGTGATAACAATACCGATGAACTACTAGAAGATGACTATGTAAGTAGCTTAATAACATTATTTTCTAAAGATAATGTCTGCTGTACTATTATTTTGGTCATGCTATGCTTGAAAGCAAATGAAAGCAAAAGTCCTGTGTGTGGACCTGAAAATGACAATAATAATTTTACATAACTCACACACGACCGTTTGATCCCAAACTTGGGAAAGCTATGGGAACCAGATTGTTAACAAACATACTTATATACTGCTAAATACATACATATTTATAGAAGAAAAATGACACCCGGAAACAGAACAAATGATTGTACTTTGTCCTGAATGGGAATTGTACCCACAACCTCTGGCTTAGCAATGAGAGTCAGTAACCACTATACCAACAGGCCAGTCATACACAGGAAATGAACAGGATTTATATTTCAAATTGGCCCACAAAATGAGACACTATTTAAAATTCTATGAATAGACAATCTTAAGGTCTAAATAAGTATGAATTTTTTATTGTTTACAAAATAAATTAGGATTAGTATTCAGATCTGAAAAAAAAATAGAGGCCTATTTCTAGCAGTGGACCACTGTAGGCTGATGATCATGATAATAATAATTCAGATCTGTACAGGAAATCTCCTTGAGGTTCCTACTACCTACTGAGGTGTTAACAAGGAAATGATAAAAAAAAAATTCATATACTTTTATATAATACACACATTAAATAAATAAAAACAAACAGTTTAGCTCTTGTTACCATATGTCATAACTAGCATACAAATCTCTGAGATGTATCTTCAAATGAAGCAAATCAGATTCCTATTTTGCATTTTCTTCTCATAAGGCTCAACTCCTTTTAAACAGGTGGTTGTAGCTCGGCACAGGTATATTATAGATTTTGTATAAATATAATTTTTAATAAATTTATTTTGCTAAGTATTTGACAAAACAGAGATTGTTGCTATTGTGTGTGTTGATCTATGACTTTAGAGTCTACATAAAAGACGATTTCAAACAATTTTTTTGTGAAATAAGTAAAGATCGTTCGAGTATACATATATTTTTTTAATACATACTTTTTGTTAATAGAAAATCCTAGATAAATGCAAATACATGCATAATATAATTGGCATGCTGTTGCAAAACTTTAGGTTAAGCAAATTAGTCAAATTGGTCCTCCAAGTTATAAATAAATAACTAAATATAGTCATTTGTACTGAACAGTAATGAAACCTGCAACAGTTTTATAAATTTTTTTAATCAGGGTTATAGATTAAAAAGGTTATTTTACATTATTGTTAAAGGGTTTTGAGGACATCCTGGATCCTAAACTGACCCTTGAGCTGGAGGCGTTGAAGATGGAGCAACTCAAGGTGAAGGAAGAGCAGCTGCAATGTAAATCCCGGATGATTATGCTGAAACGTCAGGAAAAGAGGCCGGTAAATACCTATCATCTTTAAAAGTTTTTTTTTTATCATGTCTTGATGGAGAAGTAGTTTAGATGGGTCATGAGTACAAGAACAAATATATTGCCTTTTTTGTTTCTATTTCTAATAATACAACAGTAATATTCAAACAAGCCAATTATTAAAGAAGAAAAAGAAAATCCCAATTGCATGTAAATTTAAAAGCCGAACCATAATCGATCAAGCTACTTAGACTACAAAGTGTGGCAAAGACATACGAACATACATACACTCTAAAAACATAAATTATAATAATACAAGACCTATGTACCTACATCATTTTACTGCAAATAAAGTTAATTCCATAATAATACTATCACTAAAACTATGCAAGACAACGGCACTGCAAAGAGAAGGAAATCTTGAAACAAACTCTTTTTTTTTTTTTTTAACGTGTGGAAATCCCCTCGGACCGTCACCCTACCGGGGTTTGCGGCGGGGTGGTGTGTCGGACTCGGACCGACTAAAACCACACGGTGTGCCACTCTGCGCCTGTAATAGGAGGGATCCGGGAACAGCTGTTATTAAGATATCCGGACCCCTCCTAGCGCCGGCCCGCTCCTGGTGCGGGCTCCGTCTCAAAAATTTTTCCTCTCTTTAGGCGACGTCCGGCACACGCGGACGCCGCCCCCTCGCGGCTGGCCAAACTAATGCGGGTGGAGGGGAAACCCACCCCGTCCACCCGCGGCCACACTCAGGGCGGCATGAGGCGGTGATAGGCGCGCCTCCGCCGCCCGGTTCGCCGGCGGCGGATCGGGTCCGAGTGGAGGTCGTCCTCCCGGGCCTTCTCCGCCGCCTCCTTCTGCGAGATTACTTCCTCGCAGAAGGTCGCTACCGGCCATGGAGCGTACTACGGCCGGTAGCGAGAGATCCACTCCGATGACTGCAGTGAGGACTCGGCCCAGCACACGCTGGCGGTCTGCCCCGCATGGGCGACGCAGCGCCGGGCCCTCACTCACGCGACCGAGTGCAGGTACTTTCCGAAGCAACCGTGCCCGGAAAGCACCTGCGTCAGCCGGAAGGTAAGGGTCCCGTGCTGCCGCCCTGCCCACTCGGCGATGACCGGCTGGAGAGCCTCCACGGCGGCGAAGCCAGCGCGTGGAGTCTCCAGCCTACCCTCTGAGGGCGCCAGAGGCGACCCCTATTCTGGGCGGTCAGAGCCGCCGCCCACACCGGTGCACCGTATAGTGCCATTGACCGGACAACCCCGTGTACAGCCGTCTTGTCGCGACGCTGGGTCCACCCAAATTGGGCAAAAGTCGCCCTAGGGCAGACGCAGCGCCGACCAGCTTTGGAGCAAGCTGTCTGAAGTGCTCGTCGAAGAGCCACCTCCCGTCGAGGATCAGGCCCAGATATTTCATCTGGGCCCGAACCGGTACGAGGACCGAGTTGACCACGATTGAGGCGCCAGGGGGTGGACCACGACGGGGCCCATGAAATAACAGGGCCTCCGTCTTATCTAGGGCCACCCGTAAACACAGCGCCTCAATGCGCCCAACCACCAGGGAGGACTCCCCTTGTGTGTTTATTGTACACCAATTCAGGATATTATACGTACAATAGTATTCCAAGTTAATGACCATGTACAAATGGCGGCCTTATCGCTTAAAAGCAATATCTTACAGGCAACCTTTGGATGGATAAATAGACTGTAAATAGGTAATTTTATGGGCAGATTTGGTGAGAAAAAAGTGTAAAGGAAACTAAAAACAAAAAGAAAAATATTTATACAGCACAACAGCATTCCTTTGACAATTACAAAACAAAGTAGTGTCAATTATATAAGCAGTCAGTCCTAGCAATACCTACTTATATAAATACAAGTAAATACATAAGGAATCTGTAATACATACACAAATACCTAAACTCTACCATTCATTTGCAGAGGAATGCCGCAGATAGGATTGGTGATTCTACATATTTTTTTTCCTTTATGATAATTTTATACTAAGTCGGCGCAATGTTACATTGCAAAGGGTTTCCTTTATGACCTGTAGCATGCCTGACGACAACGTGACGTAAAAGTGCAGTAGCTCGGAAGAGGCCGGAATCGTGTTTTTTCTTTTCTTTTCTGGTGGAGAGGCATACTCCGTTGCCGCCCTTCAGGCTCCCTGTTGATATTAGGAATTTGCCTCGTGAAAAGCAGCAAAAGAATTGCTGCTTGCTAGCTGTATTGTCAGGGCAAGCGAAGCGAGCCCTAACACTATCTCAGAATCTATGCATTTTAGTGGTAAAATATTATTAATAAATATCTATACTAATATTATAAAGCTGAAGAGTTTGTTTGTTTGTTTGTTTGTTTGTTTGTTTGAACGCGCTAATCTCAGGAACTACTGGTCCGATTTGAAAAATTCTTTCAGTGTTAGATAGCCCATTTATCGAGGAAGGCTATAGGCTATATATCATCACGCTAAGACCAATAGGAGCGGAGCACCAATGAAGAATGTTTCAAAAACGGAGAAAATTTATTACTATTGATAGACGCAGACGAAGTTGCGCGGGTCAGCTAGTTTAAAATATTATTTAATAAATATCTATATATATAAAAGAAAGTCGTGTTAGTTACACTATTTATAACTCAAGAACGGCTTTACAGATATGGTTAAAAATTGGTGAGGAGGTAGCTTAGAGCCAGGAGACGGACATAGGATACTATTTATTACGTTTTTTTTTTTGTTTTTTTTTTTTTTGTATCGGCGTCGATCACCAGATGACAACTGTGGAACTGTCACAACAAAAGTGAAAAGAATGGATTTCGTTGTCGACAACAGTTGGATTGTTCCATATTCGCCACTTATTTCTAAAACGTTAAAGACACATTGCAACGTTGAGTGTTGGTCGGAAGATCATCTGCGTTGTTTGTTTTTGCGCCTGATAAGAAAACAAAAAATGTCGTGTATCACAAGGTACTTAAGTGAAGAGCAACCTATGTAGTGAAATGCAGAAACAATAATAAATGATTAATGTACTTCATTTTTTTTCTAAGAAATAAATTAACTTACTAAATTCGAAAATCGGCTTATTTATTGCCTTTAAGGCGGAACAGAGTTCGCCGGGTTAGCTAGTTTATTCTAAAACCAATAAGATGTGTATACTATTTTATCAATTGGACTTAATACTAACGCCATCTGTTAGAAAACTAAAGGATTAGTATCGATGTATTACGTCGTATTTTTTTGGTTTAGCACAAATAATTAATGAGTAATTTGTAATCAATAGCGAAAATTTCGCGAGCCCTTCAAAAGCAGTTCCTTCTTGCTAGTTTTTAACACGGGTTTTGCTGTGAGACAGTATCACTTGCAACTCCATAATCAAGTAATGAAGTGATTTAATCTACATCTAAGAATATTGTTTCAGCTTTCTCACAGTGGCGCCAGCAATAGGTGCGTATTGCCTGATGGAAAAATTATACTTCACAATGCTGCTGATCGGTGAGTAAAGAAATGAGATTGATTCATAGTTTGACACACCTCAAACATCGTCGGATTGCAAACTCAGCGTAGCCTGATTATTCACTCATATAAACATACTTAAATATTTACAAATACATGCGTATTAAAAATCTACTGCATCCTGACACAGAACAAATGAATATGCTCATCAAACCATATTTGTCCTGGGTGTTAATTGAACCCACGACCTATAGCTAAACCAACAGGCAAGTTAGTTCTGGATTGTGTAGGATTTTAAACAAAAAAAATCATATTAATATTATAAAGTAACCAAAAAAGTAAAGTGCACAATTGAGTATTTTTTTTTTAACTACACGCGCGAAATAAATTTAATCAGGTGGAACTGAAATAATACGGCAATTATAAGAGGACGCCAAACATACAGACACCCAATTTATTTTTCTCGTTACTTCAAATTATTTAGGTTTTTACATTATTTCACGAGTTTATTTTTTTTGCTTTTTATGTTTAATTTTTTTGGTAAATTTAATTAATAATTGCTTATAGAAAATTATTACAATGCTTGTAATTTAAATACCAAAATTAACCATGAATTGGTCAACTTAACGCACATGTTGTACAAAGGCGGACTTAATGCCATTAGGCATTCTCTCCCAGTCAACCTTCAGGTGATGTAGAAATATGATGCGGTAGGTGCAAAATAAAATATTAAATTTAACATAATTTAGGTCCAGAGACATACACAATATATTATAATTATATAGGTTGCCTTAAGAAACTTCCTCTGTTTCAAAATTATTTGATAAAAATGATTAAAAATTTGAAATAATTATGTAATTTTTAATCTAGATTTGATCTTGAGAGTAAAACAATGTCAGAGAAAGCACAAAAAGATATGATTCCGTCAGAGAAAGCACAAAAAGATATGATTCCGGCCAGGATCGAACTGGCGGCCTTCTGCGTGTAAAGCAGATGTGATAACCACTACACCACGGAACCGTGTGGATGGTGTTTCAAATTGAGATTCAATATCATAGTTGTCATTATCATTAGTTGTCGTTGAAATAAAAATAACATTTTAATTTAGTTTCAAACTAAGCAGAGCTTGTATTATGAAACCTAGATTGACTGATAGAATACACATACTTTTCTGTCACACATGTCTGATCGAGTAAGGAACACGGTATAGGGCGATTGAGCCTAGGATATGAAACGAGACGAAACGAAGACTGCAGTACCCTCTAACCGACTTAAAAAAGACGACGTTCTAAATTAGGATGTATAGTTATTCTTTGTATGTTTTTACCAACCGATTAGGAAGATTCTTTTTTATATGAATTTGAAGAAGGAATAGCACCTCTAAGGTTATATTAAGTAATCATAAATACAAATTATTATATGGATAATGCTTTTTTAAGAATGCCATTTTTTTAATTAATCGAGTTAACACAGATTCTTGTTTTTTTTTTTCAGAAGCGCAGCAGACTTGGACGCCAATCACAGCGCTGGCGCTGGCGACTCGGTGAGTTTTCTTTATATTGTCTTTAATAGACTAAGAAAGGTTCCATCCATGATCGACATATTAATAGTTTTAAATTGACACAACAATATAAGAATTTGCTTTTTCTTTCAACATCCCTCCGCATGATTCAGGGCGGGGGACTGATAGAACAACAACACACGTGACCCGTCTGCTCGTTTGCACCCCCTTTTACCATTTTTTTTTTTCTCATTAACACTAAAAAGTAACAAGTGAGTAAGTCACATATGCTTCTGCACACGCCTCTTGGTACCGTGTAAAAAAGCCATTAATCCTGAAGATCCTGATCGGGATAATCTTTCAAATTTATCAAATTATTGTATTGTCATCGGTCCTTGATAAGTGTCACACACACAATCACATCAACAGCCTTTACTAGTCCACTGCTGGACATAGGCCTCTCCTTAGAAAGGAGGTTGATAAGTGTGCGAAGTTTCAATTCAATTTGACGCTTTGAAGTGGGTCACAATCACGTTCGAAGATTCCGTTACATACATACATACCAAGCTAATAAAAGCGTGTTAAAAAGTGGGAATTCATGATTCAAACTGATCCGACACTTAAAGGATGGTTACACACTTGTATATCTTGAGTTGTAGGTAGTGTTTGCTCTCTATACCAGGGATTCTCAAACTATTTTGGGAAAGAGACCCCTTTTCCAAAATTAACTGATACCTCAGACCCCAATTGCCAAAATACTTTAAAATCCTATCTAGTTTTTTTCTATTGAATGCTTATAAATTAAAACCTCGTCTACCCCCATAATAAGTTTTCGTTTATATCGGCCCCTGGGAAACAGATTTCGACCTCAAGGGGTCGATATCGACAAACAAAAACTACTTTTTATGGCGTACATGGATGGTCTCTAGCATAGATAATTTATTAATGCATCATTGACTAGGTATCCTCATTTATAATCTGAATTAAACTAACCAAGATGAACAGAGATGAGATCCGTACATAAACCCTAATTGGGATTTAATTCTTCAAATTCGTAGGTTTCTTTGATCTCAAAATTTTTAAATATTTCGGTATATTTTCTAATAAATCTGTTAAGTTTAGATCATTGTTACATACTGGTATAAAAACTTAGAAATTACAATGGTATATTAATTAATTACTATAACATATTTAGTTTTAACTGTATTAATAATGTTTAAAGGAAATTTTATCAAATTATTGTGCATGCATCTTTAACCTTTAATAAATTATTGTCTTAAAAAATGCCTCATGAACAACTCTCGCACCAGGTAATAAATAATTTATATTTGAAGATTAAAAATTTTATTTTTCAAAAACTAAAAGGCAACCCTTTAACTTTACTTTTTATGCCGAACAACCAAAATTATTTGATTTTTCATACTCCAAAACCAAACTTTGTTTATATTCCAAATCAATATAACGTGACTTATAAACCCCGAAACCAAAATTATTATTATTATGTAAAATAAGTAAATTTTGAACTACGAAATTTTAAATCACAACTGCCCAGCTGGGACATTACATCATAACTTTGGAACAAATTTGACTTGACTCGAACAAATTTTGAGCCAATTACAAATTGTATGATTAAATTGAAAATTCCTCACAGGCCGAGAGCTTGCTTAGATGCAATCCGGCCCAACTTGTTTAGAAATTGAGAAGATACAAAAATACTAGTGCTTTAGGCCATAAATAATACATTTTTTTATGGCTTTTAATGTCCGTTGGATGATGGTAGGGCAGTAGGCTAGAAAAATTCTACCTGGCCGTATCATAACGTGGCGGTGGTGGAATTTAGATTCATTAAAATATTTCGTGTCCTAAGTGCGATGATTTTAGAATGCTTGTCAAGTGTCTTCTATATTTTAATTAAGCTTGCCTAATAACTAATAATAATCCGCCATGACCATTCAGGAAACATGCTGATTTTCTCGCATTTCTCATTTTTGTGTAGTTAGAAGATATCAGTTATATCATCCCTAAAAAAAAACATCCCACTCGTTAGTGTTGCCAGATACAACATTTTAGATGATTATTAACTTGAACAAGAAGAAAAAAAAACGGTCGGCGATAGCCTAAAATTACGTGACCTCTCCTGGCATGGCTCAATCTGGCAACACAGCACTGTAGTTAGTGTTGTGCATCAGATATTCGATATCGTCAATTTTTCTTCAGAATGGAACAATGATCTGTTGCTCCTGTAAAAGCAAGGCCAAGAGCTCTTGGGATCCACAAACGGATGGTAGTTCTACCCCTTCCACTTGTGTACTATGCTCCGAAGATCAAAGCGACAACAAGAATCGAGATAAGTCCGTCACTAGTAAAGTTACAGATAAGAAATCTGAGTATTCTACTAAAATAGCCGGTAGTAATACGGGTGCGCGCTCCCATAGTAAGACGACAAAAAAATCTGACTGTAGCAAGATCACTGGATCTGTTAGCAAAAAATCTGACGCAACTAGTAAGAAACAGATAAAGCGATGCGGCATTTGTAGGAGTGAGGTGACGTGCGATTTGAAATACAGTGACTTTTATACAGACAGTGATGACGAAGATGAGACAAACAGACTCATACAGTTACGGAATGCTGACTACGTGGACATAGTAAACGAAGACCTTAAACTCGTTATAGCTATAGCAGGATATCCCAAATCTAAAATGAGATTGAGACAAATGGAACAATTTCAGCGCAGTCTCACTGAGGTCATTGATATGCAGTTAAAGGCAGGTCTTCTAAAGCGGGTACCGTCGTTTTTAGATTACTATTTAAATAGAGGAGCTTTAGTATGTATTTGTAAAGATTGCGAAACTAGAGATTGGATGGTTAGAGTTTGTCCGAGACTTCAGGAAAGAATGCAAAATAATTTAGTGCTTTTAAAAGCTAAAGTGAAAAGGTTGTGTCTTGCTGTACTCAAAATTCCAAGGCTATGTTGGCCAGCGACCGCCCAAGATGCTTTCAAACTCCTTCAGTATTTCAATCCTACCTTAAAAACTAATTTATGGAAGATTTATGCACAGAAATTAGTAGATGATGTAGAGTACACCTCTTTTCTTATTGACAGAGTCTCGGGAGAGATGATTAGAGGGCCATCGTTCAAAAATGTTATTGATTACAGTCAAATGGAATTTGAGTTGACAGGTTATACCGAAATTTATTATGAATGTTTGCTATTTGGCATGGAAGAAGATATACGCAGTGTCGGTTCTAGAGTAAAAGTATTAGCAGAGTTAAGGTCTACAGAGACGACACCTAGACCCACTTCTGTAGTAAGCGTAAAAGCAATGGACGTTCCTGAAAAAGCAGCAGAAAGTACCGAAGTCGTGGAGCAAAGTCAGCAAAAACCAGAGAACAGCGCCAATGATGATAATGATCTAGAAAGTAATTTCCAGAAGGATATATTACAGAAATTAAAAGACGTCAAGTATATCAGTCATCAAGATGAAATATTAGTATGGTCAGACGAGATGAGAGATAACGTGGAAGGTGCCGTGGAGCTTGACGTTGGAAAATGCATTGAAAATAAACAGCAAGATCATTTAGAAATGGACCATAATGTAGCATCTACTTCAGGCGTTATTATGTCAGATACTGAGTCTTTTATAGAAAGTAATGACAATTTGATCTCCAGGAGCAGCAACTTAAATATAGATAGTAACAGGGGCATAGCATATCATAGACGTACGAACTATTTGCATGTAGAACCAGAGCTGAAGGTTGCCATTACACTTGAAGGTTACCCTCAAAATAAACTAGAAGGTACACACATTAGGAGATTAAAACACCTGTTTAAAGAATATCTGCACAAGGATTTGAAGATGCAACGGTTTCCTAATTTAATTATTCCAAAGTTCCAAGATATATATTTATCTAACGGCGCTGTTATCTACATTTGTGATAGTTTAGAAACAAAAGACTATTTGACTGAAGTTTTACCCAAATTTATTAACTCAACGGGGCTAAAACTAACTTTCAGAGATATTAAAAGTTTGGTAAGGTATACTAGGATAGTAATGCGACTTCCGAAAGAACATGCTCACGTAGAATCTTTAGAAATATTAATGAAATTACAAAGTAAGTATCCAGGGTTGAAACCCGACTGTTGGAAGTATTATTCAGACGTTGCCGGCAAGCAGAAAAGACAATTTGGCGTTGATCCAGAATCTTTAGAAGTCATCAAAAGCCCTGACTTTGATCCTACGTACAAAGGTGATAAACTAACATTCAGGATTATCGACAGACAGAAACGCGATGTTAGCTTCGAAGAATCAAGACTAGATCCTGACAGTAGAGACACTAAGAAACAAAGAGATGCTGTATTCAAGAATATGTACGTACCTATAGATCCAGAAATAATGGCTGCACCTTTAACCAGAATTCGCACCAATCATTATTCAGATTTGATAGCGGACGACCTAAAGCTATACGTAGGGCCTTCTAATTATCCAGAGTCAAGAGTTGAAGAAGTATTATTCCATACTATTAAAAGAACACTCGAGAACATTGTTCTAGAAGCTATAGAAAAAGATGAGTTGAACGAAGAAACCATGCCAATATTCCATGATATGTACTTATTTGATGGTGTCATTTTTATCATTTGCGCTAATATGCTATCGAGAAATTGGATTGAACAAGCGCTAACAACAGTTAATTCGAAATTACATATGCATTTAAAGTCGACCGAATTTAGAGGAGCAGTCGGAATTATAAGTATGTACGTAAAAACCGATATGGACACGAATGAAGTGATTGCAATACTACAAGAGCAAAATCCGAGATTAAGAACGAAATATTGGAGAAAAATAAGTACCGTTCGCACTAAAACGAAACTAGATGTCGTACTACAAATTGATAAGTTATCCGCTGAAGTGATCACAAGTCCGAATTTCAACCAATTCGTAGGTGGCAGCGCTGTACAATTTAAATTAGGGCATCTACAGTCGCTGCTGAAACCTAAACCCAGCTTAGAAGCGCTAAGCAAAATTCAGACAACACGCTTAGAAAGTAAAACCAGTGAAACAAACCCAATTGAACGATCTAAAAGCAAGTCCTCTATACAATTGATGACTAAGAATCTGGAAAACCTCAAATGTGAGCTAAAAAATAAGTTCTCAGAACTAAACCCAGAACAGTGGAATATAATAGCTGAACATATTCAAACGGACAGCAACGCTAATGAAGTGGAGTTTGAAGATATTAACGCACAAGTCAACACAGAAGACTTCGACGTAAACACTGGTGAGCAAAAAGAGTTTTTATACTCTGAGAATAAGACTGATTGTGATCTAGACCCGGTAATAATTGAACCGGATTCCCCGAGGAGCGCAGAATTAAATCTACCGCCGGACCAGCAAAGATATCATAAAATTATACTCAAAATTCCATTAAATATTTTACCCGAAAATAAAGAAGATTTGAATATAATCTTCGATTTACTTGAAGAGAAAAATCCTGGATTAAACACGGAGCTTTGGCAGATTTTCACTGAGTCTGCTTACCCGAGTAATGGGAAATTTACAATATACATTGATAAACAATCCGTATCGGTATTGCAGGGGAAGAATTTCGATCCCTCTATTGGTGGGGAAAAATTGAAATTTTACTTTTAGATATCAGTGTATGGGTTAAATGATTGGTATATATTTTAAGTTGATTCTTTTGAAGGGTAAAACTCGAGTTATTTGCGATGCTTCTGCTATATTAAGTTCAGTTCACTTGTAATAAGAGGGCTTCAAACCGACAAATGTTTTCAGTACCCCCAAGAGTTAAATTTCTTAAGGTCTACGAAAAAAATATGAAAACGCATAATTTTTACACCTTTCTTAGTTTACTTTCTACAACTTTTTGTAGACAAATTCAGGAAACAAATGAGTTTATATGTAAATATAAATAAATATATACTAGAAAACAATGACAAATTTGAGTATTAGATCGATATGCATGTAAAATTTGATGCGGCGACACAAGATATTAGGGAAACGCTCCCGAAAACAAAGACGGACCATAGTACTACAGTGATACCTTTGACCAGGGGCCAAAAGAAAATCCGACAAAAAAAATACATATTTTTACAGCGAAACTACTAAAAACAAACGTTAGTAATAAAATTGCTGCTGTATTCGATTGACGCACCTGCCAAGGTTCGGTGTTGGGATCGGTTTTTCTGACTAATTAAAGGTATTATTGGTATTTACATCTGACTATTAGCATTCATCTTTGAATATAAATTTATATCAATAAGGTTCCATATCAATTATATAAAAAGTAATTTCAGTTATTGTTCGCCATTTGACTTCATACTGCAACTGTTTAAGTAACGAAATTTTATTTTAATGGCTGTGCCTGCCAGTGATAAAAACTCCATTTTTGAAATAATGCTGTGAAAATACTTAAGGAGCTGTTACAAGATCACCATAGATTGTTCATAGTTATTCAATTTATTTTAAATAAATCAAATATAGAACTAAAATTGATTGAATTTATACAAAAAATATTCTGGTATAAAATTTTATAGATATTTTCAAATCTATTTGGTTAAGTGAAATTAAATTTTCAATGAAGTAAAAAGTTTATCAAAATTTTGATCTGCATCTTTTAAATTAATATTAAATTACTAGTGTATGAAATAAGACAGTGTTATTGAAAATACTTTTATAGATAGATAGACAAATAAATATAAAGCAGGATGGTTTATCCTGCTTTATATTTATTTGTCTATCTATTTAAAGAATAGTATGTAAAAAGATATACAGGGTATCAAAGAAAAGTTTACGAAATCCAAGACAAGTGACAACGACTAACGAAAAACGATCTTGACTAAAAAGCCTTCTTTACACCATTATCTAAGCATTATTTAAGCTCCAACGTGTTAGTAAATTTAATGAAACGATAATTTCAGAAAAAGTACATCACTTTACTAAAAAAGGACAGAAATAGATAGACTTGACCTTCAAAGCGTACTCTATCTCAAAGACCGGACAGTCGCTTGTGAGTCTTAGGTTGCAGGCGCTTATAAGCAGCCCGTCTAGTCCGCCCGGCCAGTCTTATGATATATCATAAAAAAAAAACAATTCCTTTATGAAAACGACTGATTAACCTGTCAAGTAAATTTTGACATATAAGTTTAATTAGTGTCTAAACGTATTCTGCCTGACACCACATCGTTTGCAATTAAAATTAAATTGTTTTCATTTACCTAAAATTGTATCACCTGATTAATTTTTTAAGTATAGCACGAGTAATCAATATTACCAAAACTTGTTGAGAATTATTGTGATTGGGTGGGGTCCTCCCCTAAAGCCGAGGTATGCGGGGATTTGCGGATTGCCGATGTGCCAAGTAGTGGGATGTATGTATGGTCATATCCGAATAGCTAGTTGTTTTCGGGTACATTCGTGTTCCGTTTCCTTTGAAGCGAACCAACGCCGAGCGAGGCGAGCTAGCAATCGGTGCTCGGCGAATAAAACACACCCCATTCAGCTCAGGACTCGGCGAGTTATGCATGTCTGGTTGCGGCTTTACAATAAGATTTTCACTGTTATTATTAAAGAACTGTTATTTTAACGAATACAAATCTTCTTCAATGAGGTAGGAGACGATTTCTTACATGCCCGCTTAGCCTTTACTACAAATAAATCATGGGTAATTGTTTTAAACATTTTTTAACTTTTAATAAAGAGACCAATCAACATCGGGGTTTAATTTGAAAACTGTAAAGCAAATCTGCGAAACGTAAGCAACAAAAATTATAAGTATATCTTGAATATAAAAGTTATTAAAGAAGCACCTCAGTGAACTGACGAAAGAGTTCAAATAACATTGATTTTTATAAGATAGCTTGTCGTCTTTGCTCTAAGGGTTCGATCGATTTATTCGATAAATGTATACGTCTTAGCCAGATTTTAGAATTAACCACTGCATGATCAACCAAAAGGGTCTTATTTTATTATATAGCCAGCTATAATTGACCTTGTAAAACGTCAACATTTGATGATACTCATAGGTCAATTGACTTGTAGGTTTGCTTGCCCCCTAGGTAAAGATATTATTATTATCTTAAGCGACATTTTCTAGCATTATCTTCGCCTATTTGCATATTATTCGCTTTTAAAATAAAATAATTTTCCGTCGCAATGATACTATTACAAACACAACGATCAGCGCTTCTAAGTATAGGTAATGTTTATGGTAACTCATGTCAGACGATATAAATATGTGACCAAGAAATTCCACGATATATTCGCACATAATTAAGTGATGAATTTTAAAATCTGGCAACAATATGTACATGAAAAATATTGATTGATAATTCTAAGTCCTCATAGGAAGTGACGTCACTATTTTTATTATACGTGATTGTGTTGTCTCGAATCGGCATAATTTACCATAGAACTGTGTTATGTAACTTACTGTAGACCCACCGTAAATAGTATTTATTATATAAAAACAATATTAGTTTATACCTATTTACATAAGTTTGTAGGGGTAAGTATTTTTTAATATTATAACTTAGTTTTTTATTATGTTTACGTTAAAATGCTTTAGCGTTGGATAATATTGGAAGACTATGAGGCTAGAAATGTTTTAAGGCTCTTTATAACTTGTTTATAACCTAATGGTTGTATACCAAGTTTGAATTAAATTCATTAGGGTCTAAGGAGCTCAAAAATCTACATAAGTAATCCATGTACCCTTAATTCTAAACGCGGCGCTTAAAGGGTAGACGCGTGCAACGCACTCAAGTGATTAGGAAGGTATTGCTCCAATGATAAACTCTGATGCGAGTCAGTTTCCGACTGACCACTTTTCACGTTGTAGGGTTCGTGCGTTTGCGCACGTAAACGTTGATCGTGCGCAGACGCACCAACACTTTATGTCAGAAGAATTATGAGAATTACTTTGTTAAGATAAGGGTGAATTTGCTATGTTAACTTTTACATTAACGCTTCGATTCGGGCGCTAGCATAAATTGACCCTTAGTATGCAATTCCTTTACACAATAAATAAATTATTGTTATGAGGATATTAGAAACTATATTTTTTTAAATCTGTTTTTATATATCTATGCCCTTAGCTCTTACGTACTTAAACCCTTTTAGAAGACAGCCTCTACAGACTCTACGTATAGATGCTTCTAGAATAATTATGTCTTGTAATTATTATCTAATGCTAACGCTGACGTGAAAGTGCTGACGTGATGTTAGTTTTTAATGTAATATTATTTTGTGTTAATTATAATTATTTCGTGTTAATTGTGCTTGTTTGTTTTGAATTAAACTGTTTGATAATTTTGGTTCGTTTTCTTTATTGTTCAATAATGAATGCGTTTTTGTAATCTATGTTGTTAGTTTTTTTTCCGATGACCTATGTACAAGTTTACTAGACTGTTGGTCTAGTGGCTAGTGACCTTGATTGCTAAACCAGAGGTCGTGGGTTCGATTCCCCCCTAGGACAAATAATTGTGTGATGAGCACGATCAATTTTTCTGTGTTTGGGTGTAATTTATCTATAATATGGATGTATTTAGAAATATCAGCAGTCGTATTTACCATAGTACAGGCTCTGCCTAGTTAGTCTCAGACAACCGTATGTGAATCCCAGGTCGCGCGTTCTATGTTCGCTCAGAGCAAATGTTTGTTTGCATGTATATGTGTATTTGCATGCCTCTGTTTCTTCGTTTAATATGCATGGATGTTTTACAAATATTAAGAGTTCTGCTTAGTTTGTGACTAGATGAAGTGTAACAGATCCCAGTGAAGATTGTTATTAAAATCACCAAGAGCAACGAAAGTTTAAAAATTAAAGAATAACATGTCCCTTTGCCACAGCTAATTACGTAAAACAAACCTTATTTTAAAGGTTTACTAGCAACCGAAATTACTAGTATTCCCATTACCCCTTCAGCTAAGCAAACTTGCTTGTGTTAGGAGTGGGTTCACGTCAGTAGTATACTGTTCAGGATTCGAACCCGCGACCTTTTGATCGCAACCGCGCTTTAAAAGCTTTAGGTAGTGGAATAGATAACAAAATAAAATAAAAAACTCCTTCAGCATAAGTTCTGGAGTAGAGTAAGTCAAGCTGTCACACTAAGCGTCAGGTAGCAAAGAGAGCCAAAAATGTTCAGTAAAATAAGGTTTTCAAAGAATTGGGATAACTTAACATAGTATCTACTAGGGTTTAGGCCTTCGTTAGAAAAGATAATAATAATGTTAGATAAGATTGTGAAGATATTAATTCTGAAGAAGTCCAACCTAGTAATGGTATGTGTGCGAAGCCAAGCAAGCATTCCTACCAAACGATAATTTCTTTGAACCTGATTAGTTGGGGAGCGAGGTTTGATCGAGCCGTCACTATTTTCTTAACGCAAATGGACTCGTAAATTACCTACCTTACTTTACTGGTAAAATATCAAAGTTAGACTAATTAATTAGAGAAAAAAATCACTTAAAGTTGGTTGGTTTTGGTACTATATTCCATTAGTTTCCCATATTTGTTGCCTGGTGTGGGTGAGGGTTTTAGGACGGAGAATAATCACCTTCCTCAAATCCCCCCTCTTGTGCATGAGTATAATGAGCTCGTGACAGCGCTTACCGGCGCTACTTCAGGTGAGGTCTCGCGCGTGTGTCACCTGCGCCGAGCCGGCTGACTTATACTGCTCCAACTGCGGGGTAACGCCGTACTGCTCGACCAAGTGCCAGCTCAGAGACTGGCCCGGGAGACATAGTGCTGTCTGTCACAATTTGGTGCGGTAAGTATCCAACCATTATAATACTAGTGATGATCGTCCAGGCAGTGGTCTAAAGTCTAAGGGAACGAGGCCATACTATGCGGTCCATTCATTGGAGGGGGTCTCTTCAGGAAACTTGCTCTTTAGTCACAGGAGCGGGGGGAGGGCTTAGGTTCTTGTCACGTAGTCAATAGAATTATATTGCAAACGCTGTAAGAATAAAAAGAAAAATGAGCCAAATCAATTTCTTTTTGAACTTTGTTTGCAAAAATGATTTAAAACCATATTTATGAATTAATATTACGTGAAAAGTAGAGGAGTCGGGGTCTTAACCCGGGGGGATTAGGGACTAAAATTGTAAAAAATGGTAGACAATGTATGGGTTCATTCCCTTAGAAATTTACACAAATGAATTATTTAGCCAGACCAGAAAAATGATGAACTTCGCCATGTGCCAAAAACAAATAGTACTTATTTATTTTATTTTGTTTTTAAAGTACTGATATCGGCTTATATATTTTAATGGCAACAGTAGTTTTAAAACGATATGACCGGCCATCACTGTTGATACTTGTCAAAGTGTAAGCGCAGACTATATTTAAATTTGTGACAGTTTTATACAGGTCAAATATGAATATGATGTGTAAGGGAGGTGTGTGTTCCATTAGTGAGTTGCGTCATCGCAACGGCTCAACGCCAGGTATTCCACACCTTTTTTTTTTTTTTTTTAATTTTTTCCGTGCGGAAATCCCCTCGGATACCATCTGTCGGTGGCATGTCGGACTCGAACCGACTAAAACCGCACGCCGTCTCGGGTACTAATAGCCAAGGAACCAGGTATACCCTAGAAAGGAAGTCCCTGGTGCTGGTATTCCACACCTGACATTTAGTTAGGCTTCTATTCCATCGATGCTTAGACCCGTCGCGTGCGACGACGCAACGCTTTAATGCACTTATTACTATGTCATGACGATGCTAATAAAAATGCATAGAATTTTGGGTTCTCATTAAGACTTCAGAATAAAAAGTCAAAATTCATAACGTCTGTAATAATTTTTTTTGTTTAACTTTAAACCATTTTATTTTACACATCAATTTCAGGCTCTTAGAGAAGTCTGGCGTTAGCATGCCTGCTGTAGATTCAGAGCCCAGGTAAGATTTAGATGACTTGAATACTGGCTTTGTGCAACCATTAGACTGGTGGAATTAGGTGGTTCATCCGTTTGTTATCTTAAATTCAAAGGCTAACACTAATCTAAAGGCTAACACTAATCTAAAGGCTAACACTAATCTAAAGGCTAAACTAACACTAGGCTTTCACTATCGCAACTCCGTCCGTGTCAGTCCGCGCTTCGAATAAGACGTTTTTATGCTCGAGTGCAATCTCGTTAAACTCGCGAGATCTCGCCCTTTTTTTGTCCGAGATCAATCTCGCTAAAAAAGGGCGAGATCTCGCGAGAACGAGATTGCATTCCCTAGCTCTCAGTACTTGTTAGTTAGAAATAAATAATATTCTATTCTATTCATTATAATAAGCGCGAGCGTTGTGTGGATGCGGTGGATCGTTACTACTAATACGTCTTTAACCAATAAACACACTGACCGTTCATGGATATATGATCGTTTTAACGGGAATTTTGAAAAGAACTCTAGGACTTTTTATTTTTGCCTTAAAAATGTGTAGCTATAATAATAATAATAATATTCTACCACATACACACAACGCCATCTAGTCCCAAACTAAGCAGAGCTTGTACTATGGGTACTAGACAACTGATATAAATACATATATACTTTTTTTTTTGTAAATACATACACATTATACATAGAAACACCCAGACCAAATCAAACATCAAATGTTCATGCACACAAATGTTTGACTTGAGCGGGAATCGAACCCGCGACCTTTGGAATAGCAGTCCGTTACACAAACAACTACGCCATCCGGTCGTCAAATAGATAGATAATAATAATAGATAAATAATAATAATAATAGATTTCTGTTTTAAAAATACTTTTTAAAGACAAGCTTATACAAGTATATTTTCAACGAAGTTCCTTATCGTTGTGAGCGGATGGGAGCGAGACCCAACAATGTGTAACAAGACTTTTTGACGACACTCGTTGGCGCATCAACGCTCACATCTTTTTCATATAAATAAACGTCTACCAGAAAGCTAAAGGAACTTTTTTCCGATAGGGATTCCATAGACCCCTTTGCCGTTTTAAATTTATTTTTTGTCATCCAAACATTTCAGCATAATCAGCTCAAAATAAATACTTCAAAATTAGTAGATTTTACCAAACATACATACATTATTAGCTAACTTCGCAGAACCGTGGGTGTCGTAAGAGCCGACCACGGGAGCAAATTTTGCAGGACAACAGCAGTACAAAGAGAAGGAAAATTTGAGACAAACCCTATACCAACCCGTCTGGCCAGCGTGATATCGTAGGCCAAAACCTCCTTTCTAAGGAGAGGCCTATGTCCAGCAGTGGACAGTTATAGGCTGTTAATGAGACATACATTTAATAGAATATTGTAAAAAAGCAGTTGTTTATGTTTGTGATTTCTGTGCAGGATACAGAATGTAGCGCCGCTCCGTCGCCCCCACACGGTCACTGATGACAGACGTGACCAGACTGAGAGACACGACCGCTCCGGCAGACGTGATGAAGATGCGGACACAGCAGTGAGTGTACCGCACAGTGAAATAGTGTATTCAGACCTTGATACTCAGTCGAAAATCATTGGAATTTTCTGACAGCAAAAACATCACTTTTTTTATAATGTACTATTTTTTTGTTAAAAATTATGAAAAGTGTTATCACAATGAGTAAACATGTAGGTACAACCGGCCGGCATATATCCACCAGGATCAACAGTAGTACCACATGAACACACCGAGTAATAACACTCGGGGAAGTCCCGGGAAAAGTTAAATTGCCTTGACTGCGGGTCAAGGATTGTCAATGAAATTATTCGAAAGTAAATTGCAGTAGTATGTAGTATTTGTGCTACGGGGGAGGCCTATGTCCAGCAGTGGACTGCGATGATTATGATGATGAAATTGGAATAGTTGGCAATATAATTAATCCATGTGATGTCTATAATGTCTGTTATATCCTGTGATATACCATAAACATCGCAGCTTCTATCAAATAAATAAAATATTATTCTCTCTTCAGGTAAGTGGTATGAGCAACAAGAGCGACAGCTACCGTCGCTTGCAGAATAGGCCTTCGCAATCTCATCGCCCACCTCAACCCCAGGCCAGAAGACAGCCTGGTGGAAGTGGAAGTATGTATTTAATCTAACACTAGCTTTAACGCGTGGTTAATGTATGTTCTATTCTATCTATGTAGGTCTATTCCAGCAGTCCACTGCTGGACATAGACATGGCCTACAATTGGCCTACAATACTATGTTGGCCAGACGGGAGTTTGTGTCAAGTTTTCCTTCTTTTTGCAGTGCTGTTGTTTTCTATAATAAATAATATCTACATATATGTGCGTTTTCTGAAATAATCTATGTAGGGGAGAGTAACCAATATTGAAACAGCTCTAGCAGGGCCACTAATGTATTAGGGTTGCTAGTGTAAAAAAATAGTGCCATTTTGGTAGAAATACAGAAGTGGTCCAATTTACTATTTACTTTATTGGTTACTCTTCCCGAAATACAAGTAGTATGAGGGTTTCATGTTCACTCTGTTGACTTTTCCAGAAAACCATCAGGTTAATCCAAGGAATTTTTCCCCTAACCAAAATGGTAACAAGAACATCCAACAACGCTCCAATAAACAAAAAGTAGTCGAAGATGACCCAGATGATTGGGACACTAAAAAAGAAGAGAAACCACCGGCCAAGTTTGATGTTGCTCATGAACCCAAACCTGTGAAGCCAGAAGTGAAGACATCGCCAGCGAAAGCATCAGTGCAAACTCCTTCACCAGCGCCTCAGACGTAAGTGTTTTATGTCGGACTAGCTGTTGCCCGCGGCTCCGTGTATGTTGGTCATCGCTGTAAATGTTAGCCTATGTCCTTCCTAACTAATCCTAACTATCTCCATACCAAATTTCATCTAAATCGGTCCAGCAGTTCTTGATTCTCCTATACAAACTTCTCTCTTTTCACCCCCTCAAAGGATGATTTATGGGATTAAAACTGTCCTATATCCTTTCCCGAAACAAACCTATCTCTATACCAAACTTTATCTAAATCGGTTTAGTTGTTTAAGAGTGAAGAGGTAACAGATTTAGATTAATATGAATATAGTTAGAACTGTATGATTTACAAAGCTTCTACAATCAACATTATAGTCTATTTGCGTTAAGAAAATAGTGAATCATCGAGGTCAAACTCTGCCCCCTGACCAATCAGGTCACAATATATTATAAAGTCGTTTACGTTGATCAGTTAACTGCACACATTCGTACGTTACGGTTGTGATCTTTGAGCGTCACATCAAATCTCTTAATCATCTTAGACATCTCACACACCGCCGTCTGATCCCAAACTAGGCCTATAGTAACCAGACTGCTGATAAACATACATATATTGCAAGGATGGCGTAGTGGTTTAAGCGGTCGCCACGCCGCTTCCTACTACGCCGAGTGTTGTGGGTTCAAACCCCACACGGGACGACACTTTGTGTGATCCACAATTTGTTGTTATGAGTCTGGGTGTTCTTTGTGTCCGTTACATGTATGTTTGTAAAGTCCCCCGCGACACAGGATATATTCCTAATGCGGGAGTTGTTTTTTTACTAAGGAAAAAATATAGATATTTCTAAATACATACATAATAGACAAATTACGTTCACACACTATGAATCGTATCCTTTGTTTAAATACACCGATAGTCATCATCATCACATCACATTAAGAGCCTTTAATAGTCCACTGCTGGACATAGGCCTCTCCTTAGAAAGGAGGTCATCATGCTTTTGTTTTATTTAAAAATAACTTTTATGTTCATGTGAATAAAACTTAAAGAACAATGGCAGAAACTTATTTACCTAAAACTGAAGCGCTTAAAACATTGACTAACAATAGACTTACTAAATATTTTTTCTATGATTTATCATTATACCGCCATGTGTTGTATAAGTCTTAGAAGAGATTGGATATTTTTAAAGATTTTATTTGACCTAAGTACGTAATGTCAGAATCGCCATCACGAACTGACTAGGGATGTGTGATGACATTATTATATTATGGAACGTTTTATCGATAATCGATTGTTATAACTTTGGCTTAAATATCTATCGAAGGTTCACCTATTATTATTATGAATTTGCTTCTGCCCACGGGTTCACTCATACGCTACCGTAACTAGTACCGTAGTGACTAAATCAACCTAATTAGAAATAATTTAGAATATTTTTGACTCTTTTTAAAAGTCTTTTTGCTACACCAAAATAAATAGAATATTGTTACGTTGTTTTCCTACAGAAAAATACTAAAACAATATACTGCTTAGTGTGATGAGAAAAATACATTGTAGGTTGATAACGGCACATAAATATACATACATCGATATTTTCAAAATGTTGATACGTCGTCGTCGCACTTACTAGTCTTGTCGTTTGACACTTACATACCATTTCTCACAAGGCAATTGTAGTTTGTTTGGTTGTTTTATTTTTGTTTAGTATTAAACTCTCATATATGTTTAGTAATAATTTCTTAGTGCATATTATACCAGCTTATTGTCTTTAACCATGGACTTTATGTGCCTACCTAAACATATTTACATATTTCTAAGTACATACATTTAATAGAGGACGGGCCTGTTGGTCTAGTGGTTAGTGACCCTGACGCCTAAGCCAGAGCTCGTGGGTTCGATTCAGAGCCTGTACTATGGTAACTAGACTGTTGATTTACATTTATATTTCTAAATAGATCCATATTGTCTATAACTTACACCCAGACACATAAATGATCGTGCTAATCGCACAATATTTGTCCTAGGTGGGAATCGAACCCACTACCTCCGGCTTAGCAGTCAGTCATTACATAGTTATTGTGTTTCTGAGGCAATCGAAACCATGACAATGTTGCTGACATTTTTACTCTACCCTTAAGTTAGTTGAGGTATTTTAATAATTTAGTTACCAACAAGTAAGATTTATGTATTAACTGATGATTGCCTTTAAATTTTGATTATAATTAATAATACAAATATGTTTAGTCCACAGACAGATGGAGCCAAGCAAGCAGCTTCAAGTATTAAACTATGCAGCGTAGGGGATGTAACACCAACCCGTAAAGTGGTACCTAAGAAGTAAGTTATGCACATTATTAGGTCATCATCATCAACAGCCTTTAATAGTTCACTGCTGGAGATAAGCCTCTTCTTAGAAAGGAGGTTTTGGCTTATTATACTTACCAGATGGGTTGGTACTGTCAAGTTTTCCTTCTCTTTGCAGTGCTATTGTCCTACGTAATTCTCTCCCTTAGTCGGCTCTTACGACACCCACTTTCGTCACCATCTTCTAAACGGCTGTACTGATTTTGATAATATTTTACTACCAGGTAGCTGTCTATGTAAGGAGTCACTTAGGCTGTTATTAATCTTAGCAAAGTCTTTTAAAGTTTTGCCTGGTCCGAGAATAATAAACCCACTAAGACAGCGCTTTTCAAAGTACCAGCTAGTAAAGTAATATAACTAGAACTGTCATACCAAATATATTTGAAGGTATGACCTTCAAAGACAAGTCAAAATATACATATACTAGACCCTTATAGCTGATTTGTTTTAGTAATTGACATGACATGACTGCCTCAGTGGTGCAGTGGTAGCGTATGCAACTGCTTTGCTGAGGTCTCGGGTTCGATGCCCGGGTTGGATCAAATGTTTGTAGGACCTGCAAATATTTGTTTCGGAGTTTGGTTGTTAATGTAAATTAAAGAAAAGTATTCTATCAGTCAACCTAGCTTTCATAGTACAAGCTCTGCTTAGTTTGAAACTAGATGGCGTTGTGTGTCAGATGTCCGAAAATATAATTAAATGTATAAAAAACATATTTTCAGCTATCTGATCGAGCAGCTGGCCATCGGTGACACGGTGTTCCTGTCTGTGGATGCCAGAGCCTCAGATTGCAAGACAACGACCGGACACTATGTCTGCCTCAGCATGCACGAGAAGTTCGAGTTGGATTACCAGTCTCTCTGCGAAGACTATGTGCTGGTCTGTGATGCTGACGACAAGGAAGTGAAGTGAGTTGTTTTATGTTATAGCAAAAAGCCAGCGACATACCTCCTTACACGGGGGGCTTGGGCTTTCACACGGAAAAAATAATTATTATACTCCATAACCTTTTGCATAATATAGCTTTTTATTGTGTGAAGTCTATTGTGTTCAAAGAGGGGTTTTAACTCTGCTGTTTTAATATTGTATCAATAGACTGTCTTCGTAATACTTTTGTACTTTTCGTATTGTCGAATGTATGTAGAATCAGTTAGTTACTCAATTACTTGTCACTGAACAAAGCTGATACAAATGTCTTTGTAATAGTTTCACATCAACAGCCTTTACTAGTCCACTGCTGGACATAGGCCTCTCCTTAGAAAGGAGGTTTTGGCCTACTATACCACGCTGGCCAGACGGGTTGGTATATGGTTTGTTTCAAGTTTTCCTTCTCTTTGCAGTGCTGTTGTCCTGCGTAGTTTGCTTCCTTAGTCGCATCTTACGACATCCACGGGATGAATAGGGGTGGTGACATTCTGTATTCTTAATCCGTCACCGCACGGACAAAATAGTTTGGTAAACGGTAATTTTAGAATTGTACGGAAACCACGTGATAAACGTTGTAGATCGGCACGGGCATATAAAACAGATTTTTGATATGTTTTTATTTACTTAGCTAAATATTTGACAAAACAAAGATTGTTGCTATTGTGCCTGTAGAGACTCTAAAGTCATACTTTAGAGTCGACATAAGAGACGATCCGGCAATATCGTGCGCGACCGTCCCGCGGGGTGACAGACAGTGGCGGGGGCGAGGTAGCGCGTCATTCTAGCACACGGCTACACACGAAGAGAAGCGTTTCCCTTCCCCGCTACACCACCCGCTACCCGCTGACATCTTGAGTACCTCGTCCCCGCCACCGTCTGTCACCAGGCAGGACGCGCGCACGACGTTGATGGACTATAGTTATCGTCAAATCATTTACTTTTGATGTTGGTTTGAAGATCTTAAAAAAAATTAACACATTAAATAAAAAAGTGGGGGATAATTCATGCTGTACTTTAAGATGTTTCACATAGAAATCTACTCTATTATATTATTATTGACTGACGGACTGACAGACTGCACGGATGGCGTAGTGGTTTAAGCGGTCGCCACGCTGCTCACTACTACGCTGAGTGTTGTGGGTCCGATCCCCACATGGGACGACACTGTGTAATCCACAAATTGTTGTTCTGATTCTGTTCTGTGTCCGTTTTATGTATGTTTGTGAAGTCCCCCGCGACACAGGATTTGCTCCTAATGCGGGAGTTGTCTATAAATAGCTATTATTGTTTGTTTCATTTAGATTGACGCCCGGCGAGGCCTGTTCCTACTTTAACGAGGAAGACGGCGCCTGGTACAGAGCGCACTGCCTCAACCCGACCACGATCGCGTTGTTCGACAGCTGCAAAATCGTGACAGTGACCGCCACGGACAAGATCAGGAAGTTGCCGCCCAAGTACGATCAAGTACCGGAGTTCAGCTGTGTATTAGAGTGTAAAAATGCTAAGGTATGTGCTATATTATGACTGGTATGTTGATCTGGTAGTGAATATATTGTCCTAGGTCTAACTCCCATCCAGGACAATTTTTAGAGTTCCGTACCTCAAAAGGTAAAAAAGGAACCCTTATAAGATCACTCCTCAAAACCTCCTTTCTAAGGACAGGCCTATGTCCAGCAGTGGACTATTAAAGGCTGTTGATGTGATGATGTGATAAGATCACTTTCTTGTCCGTCTGTCTGTCTGTCACAACCGATTTTCTCAGGAACGGATAGACCTAGCAAATTGAAATTGATACCAAATGCTGAGGTCTGTAGTCCCTATTAGGTGTATAAAAATCAAGGTCCTGAGTCAACACGATAAAAAGATATGGGCAAATTTCGAATTTCGCGAAAACTTGTAAGTACCAAAATTTACCTTAATTTTCAACTTTTTTTATTTTTAGAATTTTCTCTTTACTTGTGATGTAAGACCTTGCTTTACCTCCTCGGCCGTACCTCCTACCCCCTCGGCGTACGAGTTCGACTCGTACCTGATCTTTTTTTTTTTTTCTTCTAATTCATCATGATGATGATGATGAGTATAATCACTACGAAATATTCTGTTTCACCAGGTCTTACACAAATTCGGTTTCGCAATGAAAGTAAGTTACACCATGCAACTCCAGTCTTTTAAATCCTCAATGCAAATAGGCAATATTATAAGCTGTCTATCTGTCTGGGGCGTTATAGCTCCGAAATGAATGTACCGAAAGTGACTTGATTTCAGCTATAAAGAGAGAAAATCTGGTCATCCGTTCGAAGATCATCAACTCGAATCTACCTCTCTATAAATTTTCAATACGATCACAGTTTACCTCGAGCATATATTTATATTAGTGTCATCATCATTATCAGTTTGTAATAGCCCACTGCTGGACATAGACCAACCTATCTGTGTGGTGACGGATTAAGAATACGGAGTGTCACCACCGCTATTCATACCGTGGGTGTCGTAAGAGCTGACTAATAGAGCAAACTATGCAGGTCAACAGCACTGCAAAGAGAAGAAAAACTTGACACTAACCCCCTACCAACTGTCTGACCAGTGTTCTATAGTCGGCCAAAACCACCTTTCTAAGGAGTGGCACATGTTCATCAGTAGACTATTAAAGGCTGTTCGTGGTGATGATGTTATGTGAATTAGTATAAGATAAATCCTACAGACAGGTCAAGATTATAACGATTTTCTTTAAGCAATCTCTACGCAGATCTTATTTTCCTCTGTGAAATGTTCAGGAATAAGGGAACTGCCAATGTCAGAATTATCATTATAAATTAAAACAAAACGAATTGATATATTACACTTTATACTTCACTAAATTTTTAAACCACATCCCAGTAGTGTCGTCGATAATGCAGGAAATTTTATATTTTTAATTATTTTAGCTCGGCACCAATCTGTCATGCGTCATTGCCGCGAAGGAAGGTGATGGGTACAATGTAACCTTGAAGAACATGGAAACCGGCCATTCAGTGGGTGAAGGAGTCCTAAAAAGATGGGTGCCTACAGTGGAATATGCACCAGCAAAACCTGGTATTATTTGAACGTTCTTTTGTTACGTTTGGGTCGGATCAAATGTTTGTATGATCTGCAAATATTTGTTTCGGAGTTGGCTTGTTTTATATGTATAGAATATGTCCGATGTCGCTACATTGTGTGTTAAATGTCTGAAAGATGAATATACTATTATCAATGTATTTCAACTCAAACTCAACTACCGTGTAAACGGGGCCAATATATGTGGATACTTATATACAGAGGTATCGGTAACAGCGTCGTGATTTCAATGGTTTTCCCATCTCATATAAAACATTCTTTTGTTTGTTGCGCACGCGCACGCGCACTAAAGAAGTTTTCTCTTCAAAAAAGTTCACCCATTTGCTTTTTTTGTTTGGAATCCGCTTACCTCACTCACGCGGTGAAAAGCTTCGAAGAAATTATGTAACACTGGTTTTCTGTGAGGCCCGGCTTACTCCGGATTTACTTATTACTCCAGCCCGGCCATTTGTATCGAAGCATGGCTTTCCAACAGAAGAACTACGTTTTAAATATTTTCATGTACTTTTAAACAGTAAGGGGTCATCCATCTCACCCCCAACCCCGTCCTTGTCACATTTACGAGTCTCCACCCTCTATAGTCTGTTTTTTAATCTCGTAGACTAAATTGACACATGCAAATGTCAAATTTACAAATAATGTTGCCAGCTCTTTTGTGCAGTGTTGTACCTACGATACCGGTTAGTTGAATCGTAACTTTTTATTTATAATAGACGAATTTAATTTTCATTCAAAGTTTTACATTTAAAATTCACGTACGTACACACGGCTGCACGACGTGCTACAAACTGCCAGGGAAATCTGACCACGCAACGCCATGCGTAACCCGACCATGTTTCGATGCCTTTAAATTAAACAAAAAAAAAATATAGACGCCATCAGTGTTGTTCCCGTACGCGTTAAAACGGCAATCTTAACCCTTTTCTCTTACGAAACGGCAGAACTTAAAAAATACGGCAATTACGGAACTTGACACCATACGAACAATTGTACGAATACGTAATACGAACGATTGAGTTGGTCTGGGCTCAAGTAAAGGGGCATGTCACTAAAAATAATAAAACATTCAAAATGAATGAAGTACGAAGCCTTTTTGAAGAAGGGCTTCGTCAAGTGACCCCCCAGCGGTGGAAAGACTGTGTAGTCCATGTAATTAAAATTGAAGATCAATTGAAGTGTCATCTGGGCCATATAACCGACGACATTACTGATAGGTTTATCATAGAAGTAGGTGGCGATTCTGATGACTCATAATATTCCTCAGACATGGAGTCATTATCTGAATCAGATTAACGCGAATACCTGTAATTAAGTTATTTAATTAAAAATATATGTTTTACATTATTAATTTTGTATTATTACGTTTTAAATAAGTACCTACACATTATTTCAGGATAAACACATTATTTCAGGATAAACACATTATTTCAGGATAACTTATTGTAAAAAAACGATACTTGATTTTATTAACGCTAAGTTTCGGTTGTGCCACATCACTATTTAAGAATTGCAATAAACTGACAACACTCGTAATGTCAGTTTAGTCTACGAGATTAAAAAACAGACTATAGTGTGTCATCACATATTTTGCAATTTTACATCTAGAAATTATTAAAACTAAAAAAAAAATTAGAAATGATTAAACTTTGGACTTAACTGTTATTTTATGGCATTATTATATATAAAATCAATAAAAATCAACATCAATAGGTAGAAAGTAATTTATTGTGTAATACTGTAAATAGTCCAAATTTCGCGTTTTGATGCTTAGATATATTAGGTTTTGAAACGTGACGTCACAAATCTTAGGACTCCTACCCCTTGTCACACAATATCATACTTCGCCCCCTCCTCCCCCCCACGTTGTATGGATGGGTCCTAAGTAACAATAATAAGTGAATGTTTAACAGTGATCCCAGAAGTTCCTCGGCCGCCCGTGGCGAACAACAGCGCGGTATTGATGGTGGACGCGACGGCCCTGGACCGCGTGTTCGTGCGACCCACAGACCCTCGCCGCCAGAGCGAGTACGACGACGTCGTACAGAACGCGCTGCTCGCCGGTCGGAAAGGTATCGTACTGTGTAAAGGTCGAGGCTCACAGCGGACGAGACGGGGCGGTTAAGATTACGAAACTGTCACGATTTCACACGCATGTGACGATCCTCACTGCTGCAGGAAGAAGTGCCGACATTATCTATCTTGACATATAGATAGTTTCCTGAAAAACGTTGTTCTTATACTAAGTTAATAATAAAACTCTTTTTTGCAATCCTTCGTAGCGATGACTTAGTTCAAAATACTAAATATTATTTATAATAAAGTTTTTATAATAGCCCGGTACTTATTGTGCATAAAGTAAATAGATTAATGGAATATTAACTACTATTATTAGCAGATGACTTTATCATAAGACTTGGAAATGGAATAATATGTATTTTTTTCTAGCGAATCCTCTGAAGGGAGCCTCCAGTAAAAGGCCAGACGGTCATAGCGAAGTTCGCTGACGGCCTGCACTACAGAGCGCTGTGCAAACGCACCCACATTGGACAGAACAAATATCTTCTCGAATACATCGACTTTGGTAAGAAAGTTATATAACGAACTTTTATTAACTTCTCTGTACAAAAAGCATTGCCCTTTCAAACTCCAATTTGTGTCCATTTGAATTTGAATGAAAAATATCACCCTCAAGGGATCAAAATAAAATAATGAAAAATATATACTAATACACATACATTTTACATATATTTTGCCCGCGTATGTCGGTTATCGCAGTAAAAATTAGGCTATGCTACTCGCTGATATTGTAGCTTTCTATTGGTGAAAGAATTATTAAAATCGGTTTAGTGGTTTATGTGTGAAAGCGTAATAAATAAACAAACTCAGGAAGTGTGGATGACATTATGAAATAGGCGCATTAATTCGATGATACTTGTTGAATAGATAAAATTTATGATTATTATCGCTATGAATTCTTTAGTACCACTTCGATAATAAAACTGAGTCTGATATCTTATAAACTTTTCTGTCTCCCAAAGATTAAAATAGTAATTGTGCCTAAATCTGGTTGATATCTTTTGTTCAGGTAACTTGGAAATATGCCGCAACCTCGAAGATCTGTTCCCTTGCCCACCGAACTTAGACCTGGCTGCAGCCCCAACACAGGTGTCGATGATCAAACTGAGTCCAGAAGGTGGCGACTTTACCCCTCCTGCTAAGGAATATATTGAGAAACTCAAAGATTCCAGTGAAGAAATGATATTGGTAAGTTTCTTAATTCATAGTAACGTAATACAACGTGGGAGAGGTTATGCTTTGGCACAGACAGAGAGAGAGAGGCACACTGAGTTCGTTTCGTCCTTTCTTCTCAGGGCTAGTAAAGCTAAGAAAGGCTGAACCCATCTGCTCAAAAAAGTTTGACATGCAAGTGTTCTTGTAACCTATTACAATAATCCCAGAATAAACTATTTTATTTCTCAGGTCAAAGTTTCCTATCCTAGTAGCCTATGGTTTGACACAATCAGTGTCGAATAATCATTTTGATGTTTTTCTTCAACTGAGTAAGGTTACACCTTTATTCTTATTATTTGGACAAACAGAGAGAGTCTTAGCATTCCATGGATTCACCGTGCGGATGTCGGGTCCATCGCTTGATAGATGGGGGCAACACATGCGACTTCGACAGCGTCTGGGACTTGCGACCCAGGAATAGGTTTAGGGAGTACTCCTTGCGAGGCGTCAGCGCTCACCTCTACTGTCTGCTGTGTTACCCCCTCTACCTAACCATATTTGATATGAGCCTAGTAATGCCGCTTTGGATATTCGTTCTAAAAAAGAGTTTACTGAAGCTCTTGGCAATCCAAGGCACCTATCGGTGGCATGTTGGACCCGAACCGACTTAAACCGATAGCCGGGGAACCAGGTATACCCTAGAAAGAAAGTCCCTGGTGCCCCGACATACCTCGGGCCATATACAGACGACTAGACGCCCCACCCCCCCCCCTCCGAGCTTGTCACTTCCACGGCATACAACGCAACGAAATAACCATTTTTAATGATTTAATATTAATTTAATAAATAACCAGTCATGTCGTTGGTTAAGTCAAAGTACTCGTTTCTTTTAAAAGCTCGGTCTTTAGGAATGTTCGTTTCCCACGGCACCGTGAGTTCTACTAGTACTTCAAATTAATCAATTAAGCGAGACACAATAATGAAATGCCCGAAGAAAGCCATTTACGCATTTTTATTATGTTTTCGGACATATGACACTGCGCCATTTAGTTTCAAACTAAGCAGAACTTGTACTTTGAAAGCTAGATTGACTGATAGAATACTTTTGTTTTTGTAAATACATGCATATTATATTTCCACTACTACTACTTGCTCGTTTGCTCTCCTATACCATAAGAAAAAGAGTGCCACCGTGTTTTTTTTTGAAAATTTTTGATTTTAACATTATTTTTATTTATTTATTTATGACTTTATGCACAAATGTGTGCATCGGCGGACTTAATGCCTAAGGCATTCTCTGCCAGTCGACCGATTGGGCGATGCAGAGAAAGAGTGAGGTAGGTGCATTTGTGGGGATAAATGATAGAGTTCTTATACAGTACTATTTGTACTTCGAATAGACGTATACAGGCAATGATATATTAGGTCTTTACCTATGAAATTGCCGTTCTGCATGCAATAAGTGAAAGTACCCATTCTCTCAAACTTCCCTACTTCTGCCATTCGAAGCAATCTTTTATGTTTGTAAAGCATAATTTTTATGTTTTCCATTCGAAATGTTCGGACTATGTTGTATGCATATACACAATATATGTTTGTAGTTATGTTATCAATGTATTTCAACCCAAACAACCCTTGTGTAAACTCATATACAGAGGTGTCGGTACTCATATACCGAGGTGTCGGTAACGGTAACAGTGTCGCGAGTTCAATTGTTTTTTCCCATCTCAAAAAATACATTCTTTTGTTTGTTGTTCAAAAATGCCCAACCCGCCTAAAGTTTTCACTTCAAAAAGTTTTTAGTGTATATAAAATATGAATGTTGACTTTTTAGACCCTGCCCCGTGGCGAATCTTCAGCTCCAAGTGGCTCTGAAGCTGTTTTGAAACTGTCGAAGAACAGCGAGAATGTGAACAAGAAAGTTATTGAAATGTGCACTCCTGACTGGAAGAAGTTCCAGGAGAAAGGAGGTGATGTAGTGGGTAAGTTACGTTTCACATGTAATCTCTATTAATATTATAAATGCGAAAGTAACTGTCAGTCTGTCTGTTACGATTTCACGGATAAAACGCTTAACCGATTTAAGAAAAACTTTTCATGGAGATACTTTGATTCTTGAGAAAGGACATGGGCTACTATTTACCGCAAAATCTAATATCCTTACATATTATAAAACGAAGTCCCCCGGCCGCGTCTGTCTGTCAGTATGAGCGCGAAAAACTCAAAAACTACTGAACGGGTATTAGTATGGTATTCACCAATAAATAGTGTGATTCCCGAGGAAGGTTTCGGTGTATAATTTATAATGGTTTATTTCATCATCATCATCAGCAGCAGCCTTTACAGTCCACTGCTGGACATAGGCTTCTCCTTAGAAAGGAGGTTTTTTGTAATTGACTCAAATATTACGATTATCGTTGAAGTGGTCGCAAAAATCTTATGCTATATAAACCGGGCGAAAAAAGCATCACTGTTGCCGAAGCCACGCGGGCGAAGCTCAGGGCGGAATCTCGTATGTCAATAAGGCTCTCACATTAAACAACCTTACACATCTCACACGGCCTTCTGATCCCAAACTAGGCAGAACCTGTACTATGTTAACCAGACTGCTGATAAACATATCACATCACATCACATCCTAGTCCACTGCTGGACATAGGCCTCTCCTTAGAAAGGAGGTTTTGGCCTACTATACCACGCTGGCCAGACGGGTTGGTATAGGGTTTGTTTCAAGTTTTCCTTCTCTTTGCAGTGCTGTTGTCCTGCGTAGTTTGCTCCCTTAGTCGGCTCTTACGACACCCACGGGATGAATTGGGGTGGTGACAATTTGTATTCTTAATTCCGTCCACCACAAGGACGAACGGATAAACATAGGTACTTAAATATTTCTAAATACATCATATTATAGATAAATGTTCACACCAGACACAGAACAAATGATTATTCTCATTACACAATATTTGCCTGGGTGGGAATCAAACACACGACTTTCCGGATTAGCAGTCATTGTCACTAACGTCTAGAACCACAGGCCCGTCGTCAAACCATCTAATTGATTTTATTTGTTCTAGAAATTGAACCTTTGATGTATTGTGACTTGGAGTACCAGGAGCTGCCGTCGGGACCACTCGAGCTGGTTATTACGGATGTCAGCGTCTTCCAGGGTGGAATGTTGTCGGGGTACCTCAAGGATGATCCTCACGCCGACTATGTGTTCTCGCATCTTACACAGAAGGTATGCTAACGCTATGAAAACTTCTTTTAAAATCTATATTTTTGTCGATACCTGTCACATATCGATAAATAGTTAAAGATATCACGGATACAAACTGCGTTCTTACTTTAAGATAATGAATTGCGGTATACGCAATGCCCATTTACCTCACATCACAGCAACAGCCACTGGTTTCTTTGATGGCAGACGCCTTTTTTTCATTTGTTTTTTTTTCCGTGCGGAAATCCCCTCGAATACCACCTGTCGGTGGCATGTCGGACTCTAACCGACTAAAACCGCACGCCGTCTCGGGTACTAATAGCCGGGGAATCATGGCAGACGCCTGACACCAACTCTTCTAGGGAACGTCCCACCAGCATGATCGACAGCCTTAAATACTCCACTGCTGGACATAGGCCTCTCCTTAAAAAGGAGGTTTTGGCCTACTGTCATTATGCTAAACTATACTTACTTATCGTGTCGATGTCAACACTGTTTTGGCCCAGTGCTCGGCGACGCTAATGGCGTTTGGCCTTGCTTGATACAGGTCGTTATTAAGCGTACACGATTCTGGGCTCGCGGAGCATGTTAACAAGCAATTTATACTATAATGTAACTTTCATTATACGGTTTTTCCATACCATGACAGCTCAACATACTGGACACTTAGCCTATTGTAGCGGTTTTCTCTTGTGTGTCAAATTTTCTCTGAAATATTCTTAAATTATCGCACTAAGAATTCTCTTTGCGGATTTATTTAATAATATTACAATAATACTTCGTTATTCACTTTTTATCGAAATCAAATACTGTTTGCTGTATAAATATTTTATGATTCTTTTACATTATTTTACTTCCTATAAGGGTTTCGTACCTCAAAAGGAAAAAGCGGAACCCTTATAGGATTACTTTATTGTTGGTCCGTCCGTCCGTATGTTTTTCTGTCAAGACGCTTTATCTCGGGTACGCGTTTAGGTATCTATTTGAAATTAAAACGATATACTCAGGTGTACGTACAGTCAGAAGCAGGCCTTGGTGGCGGCGAGCGCGTTGCGAAGCGCGCTCGCTTCCAGGGAGCACAGGGAACATGGGGTTCCCACACGGGGCGGGGGTCGTCTACTCGTCTGTAGATGACCCGAGGTATGTCGGGGCACCAGGGCCTTCCTTTCTAGGGTATACCTGGTTCCCCGGCTATTAGTACCCGGCGAAGGCGTGCGGTTTTAGTCGGTTCGAGTCCGACATGCCACCGACAGGTGGTATCCGAGGGGATTTCCGCACGGAAAAAAAAAAAAAAAAAAAAAAAAAAAAAAAAAGGCCTCTGCTTAGAAAGGAGGTTTTGGCCTACTACTGGTGTACAATAAAGTTTATTCTATTCTGTTCTAATGATTAAACACACAAATGCAAAGGTATTTTAATATTTTGTGTATTATAACAGATGGCTGAATACTGCAACAGTGAGATCGGTAGAGACCCATATTTACCGAAGCCAGAAGAGCTGTGCATTGCGCAATGTCCACCATGTAAGTAGATGAACAGACCTATTTTTCTGTCTGACCTGTCTTGTGTGTGTGTCTGTTTGTGGCAACGTAGCTCCCGAATGGATGTACCGATTTTGATTTGATTTTTTTTGTTTGAAAGATGAATTAGTCTGGAGTGTTCTTAGCTATGTTTGATGAAAATCGATCCTATATGGCCGCCACCACAAATTGGCCGATTACATTTTTTTTATAACTCTCAATATGGGTATCAAATGAAAGTGCTTGACTAGTAGAATACTCTATACACTATGACTTTCAGATCCAAAATGTGTCGGGGGATTTGGGGTTTTTTTGACATAACTTTTCTAAATCTGTAATTATGAAAATTTTGTATACAAGTGAATAATAGGGTTTGTTTTAAGATGAAAAATAAAACTAATTATTACACAATTTTCTAGAAAAATAAATCGCATGCTTCATTTTATTTTGAGCGCCTATCAAATCTGTCAATTTACCGACTATGTTAATATGTTAAAAACTGAATGTTGTATTTTTTTCAAAACCGTCAATCTACGATCATGACTATATTATTATGACTGTGCTTATAAACTTTTGTACTACAAGACTCGCTAGTATTTGAATGAAGATATGATCTCGAACGGGTGTTACAGACACGCAGTGGTTCCGCGCGGTGCTGCTGGAGCAGCTGCAGGGCGCGGGCGGGTCGCTGGCGCGCGTGTGCTACGTGGACTACGGCAACGTCGAGGAGGTGCCCGTCGCGCTCCTGCGCAAGATGCTGCCCGAGTTTGTACGCGGCTTGCCCGTCCTCGGCTCCAACTTCGACATCGAAGGTACATCCTCCACCTTAGTTACGGTGTAATATCTGTCCCTTGTCCCTAACACGAAAGGAGGATACTCTAGTCAGGTTAGATGATCACGTTGAATATAAATGACTAGTTGCATCTCACGGGAAATTAAGAGTGGATAAAAAGCTACCTACATACCAAATTTTTTAAAAATCTACCTAGAAAACCCGTTCTTAATCGATTTGACATCGATAGTGTTGAATAAATAAAAATGCGACTAATCTATCTGCTTTTGAAATTTAATAAACAAAAAAGTGAAAACAGGATGGATGACAAAACAAAACCTAGAGGAAACAAGAACCCCAATCTTGCAATATAGGTAACGAGAGAGATGGATAATAGTTAGTCTCCTCCATCTCTTTCTGGCCGAGGTCTTTGGTCGGCTGGGGAATATGAGGGGTTAATAAGTAGCCATGAGTGGACGGCGTAGTGGTTTAAGCGGTCACCTCGCCGCTTCCTACTGTGCTTAACTCTGTGCACTTGGTGTGAACCCCACACAGTGTTGTTCTGAGTCTTGGTGTTCTTTGTGTTTATTTCATGTATGTTTGTAAAGTTTCCCGCGATACCAGGATGTATTGACAGGAGTTGTCTTATTAAAAGGAAAAAAAAATTATAGCTTAGCCAAACAGAGACAGGGCATCCATTGTAGCCGCTTTTCTGTAGTTATAAACTACCTTAGATAAATCAACAACAAAGCGATGCGGCCAACAGGTGTCGCTTTTATCAATACCGTACGCATTACTAATATACCAAAAAAATAACTGTTACACCATCTCTCTGCTGTCTGTATTGCTTCTACTTACAGGCGGCTGTACCCCTCGTTCTCTCTGTGGTTGAACCATTCAAACTCAAACTATCTCTATTTAATAAAAAAATAAAATTGGTTGAAACGGTCTCTTGTTTAGACTCATAGATCAACACACACAATAGCAACAATCTCTGTTTGACAAATAACGTTAATATGATGCGTTTGTGTCGTTAGATTTCCCCTCGGAGCCGAGCGAGGAGATGCTGGCCCGCGCCCTGGAGTACATGCGGCTGGACGAGGAGGGGCGCGGCGCGCTCACCGTGCAGCGCGTGGTGCGGCTCGAGGAGGGCCACCACCGCGCCGCCGCCCCCGCCCTGCTCCGCGCCATGCGGACCCAGCTCTAGCGTGCCCTCTACTGGACGCTCACACTATAACTTTACCTCTGTTCCACTAGTTCGCGGCTAAATTGTGACGCCTGTGCATCGCCTCAGCCACCGACTTCGAACTAAAAAAGTGTGTGTCAGGTGCGACGCGCGACTAGAGGTTATTCCTTAAGAACGCATACCCTGTGTGTGTACAAAGTTAGTGATCGGCGCCATCTATGTACATGTTAGTTAAATAGTTAGAAGTCACGTTTAATTGCAATTTATTTTGTTGTTTATTCCGTTTGAAAACAATTTTAATTTTGTAGTGGACTACTCACTAAACTGAAACAAATTGCAATCGTAAAACTAATAACAAACTCACAAAATATTATTACAATATTGTTGAACCGCCATCTATTAATCACATTTAGAACTAATAAAACGTAACGAGGTCATTCGATCACTTTACTTTACATTTTACTCGTCATATTATTTTCATACCGAGCGCCTTATATGAAAATCGATTCTTAAGAAGTAAATTGTAAAAATTCTACTATATCTTCTAATTGCATCATTAAATCAACTCCGACATGCCAAATTGTACTATTGTGAAAATTTTTGTATGTAAGTGTGTTAAAAAGGTCTGTTGCATAATAAAAGCAAAATATCAATCAAATTTGGGCTTATCTGAAAAGATAAGGTATCATTGGGAAAAATTCCTCTTGAATACCCTGTTTCAAAAACACTTTCATTTACGAAGGAATGTAAAATTCAGAATACTGTGAAAACATTTTTCAAATATGTTAAAAATTAAAAGTAGATATGTATTGGCGGCATGATCCCTTTGAACTCGTATCACTATTCTGTATTAATGCAGCAGATCAAAGAACATTATAACTTTAATACGTCTAAATTTAAAATTGTATATTTACTAAGAATTGACAAAGCATCGTTAGTTATCGAACAACACCGACTCACTCATTTTAACTGATTTTATAGGGAGTGAAAAAACTACTTATTTTTTTTAACTTCAAAGGTATATAACATATATTTTTGAATGGTAAATAGAGCAAATGAACTCATAGACACCTTCAAGTTGAGGGGCACAAGTGCTTTGCGACCCTTTAAGTTAAATAATTAGTAGGGTCCGGTTTTCTGTGAAGCTGTGGACCATTTGGGTTAGAGGCGGGATGTGCCTCAGACATGGGGTACGGCTGGGAGGACTCCAGAAGCCGCCTGGCGCTCCTTCCGACTGCCGAGGTAGGCCGCCGCGGGGTTTAGTGGGTAGACCGGTTCTGCGGGAGTCCCACACACGCCCTGCGTTTCCCTAACGGAGGGTATGGTGCGAAAAGCATTCTCCGAAAAAAAAGCCGGTAAGGTATTAAAGATATGCTGTTTATAATGCGATAATGTAGTTGAATCACCAAATGAGTGAGATTATCGGAAAACCAACTACCACAGCCCTCCCCGTAACGGAGTCGGGGTGACACACTAAGGCTGGCTACGCACTAGTTTCTCTCAACTTACGGGTGACTTAATCTTGACCGGTGGTAGTCACTTAACTTCACGTCTGCTCGTTTGCCATACAAAAAAAAACATTTTTTTCAACTTGAGCGGTTTTGTTCGACGAGGGACGACATAAAAATATATTTTTTATAAAGTTAGTTAAAAAATGGTATTGTTTATTAAGAGATATTAGGACGCGTCGATTGTTTATTTCCTTGTATTAGTCATGAAGACTACATTTTTTTACATTGTTACATTGTCTCAATCAAAATGAAACTCAAACATAAGCTTCATCATCATCATCATCAGCCTATCGCCGTCCACTGCTGAACGAAAGCCTCCCCAAGGAATGCCAACCACCTCGGTCTTAAGCAGTACGCATCCATTCGCCACTCTCTTTAAGTCGGTCCATCGTACCTCAGGACCCTCTACGCTACGTTCCTAATCCAGGTCTCTACTCAAGCACATTTCTGCTCCAGTGACCATTAGACCAACAGTCAAAAACTACCTAATTTGAACATTAGATGTGGTGATGAGTTATGTAAAGTTTTATTTTGATTTTATGACTATTTCTTTATATTTAAGAAAATGTTTTCCTCTAGAAGATAATATAGACCAGATCTACTTAGAAAATGTTTAAAATTGAGATGGCAACTTTAATTTTTAAGCCATTTATAATTAGTTAAGTTACTAATTGAATCACATAGGGTCTATATTGTGTATGTTATAAGTATCTGACTTGTATGTTATAAGTCATTAACTCAGTGAATGTTTGTCTATATTAAGTTAATTTTAAGTAATTTTGACTTTATTAGATGTTATGTTTCTTTTAGCATAAGTATGAACATCAGCAATTATTAGCAATAATTGTAAAGTAATGCCTTACTTAAACGTAATTAAGTAAGTATTGATTTAAAATACCACGATATGAACATTTGCACTTAGCAAGTTATTATAAACGGGATATTTACATTTATTTTCGGGAATTAGTTTAGGGGCTCGTGGCTAAGTGGTAACCGAGTAGGTTGGTACATTGCAAAGTTAAGCAAACTTACCCAGGTCAGGCTATGGATAGGTGATCAATCACCGTGGGAGAGCCATGCTTCGGCACGAGTGATACCACTTCCTCACAGAAAACCGGTGTTAAGCAATTCTTTCGTTGCCTTTCACTGAGTGAGGGGGTTACCGGAGCCCAAATCCCCCTGACTCGAGCGAGAGGGACACCAAGGGCGGCAACGCACTTGTGACTTTTGAGTTGCAGGTGTCCATGGGCGGCTGTAGTTGCTTACCATCAGGTAACTCGTCTGCTACCATAAAAAAAAAACACAGACCCCTCTGTGCCTCAGAGAGCACGTTAGGCCGTCGGTCCCGGTTGCCTTATGTATATCTGTTACGATATTCGATACTTGGGTTGTAGAGGTGTGATGGCAGTCGCTCCGCGTAAAACATCGAAGTACAGTCGTATCGTAACAGAATAAAAGCCGACGCCAACCCGTTTTGGGAAAAGGCTAAGACAATAGATGGATTTGCTGGAATTAATTTCAGCTCTGTTGCAATGATCACGTAGAAAACTAAATCTCTCTGGAAAATAAACATGATAAATATTTTATAATAATTTATCAAACTGAAATATGATATTTAAAAGCGATTGTGCTCGCATAAATATAAAGATTACTACGGTAATTAATGCTATCGCGTTATAGATTTTGACATGATTATAGGGGCAAGCGAGCCCACGGACACCTGCAACATAAGTCATAAGTGGTCGCCGCCCTTTGAGTGCGCGCTCATCTTTTCCTCCGAAAAGTCACTCACTCGGCAAAGAGTAACAAAACATTTGCCTAAGATTGGTTTTCTGTGAGGGTGAGGTGTTTTATCAGTTCGGTCGAGCCGACCGGTGCTTGACTTCTACCCGGAAGATCGCTTCACCTAGTGAAAAAGGTAGGGATGGTATAAAACCACAATCACCAAAATGATTTATAAATCATACATATTATTATTACGCTACGGCAAAACTCGCGAAAGGTCTCAATCTAAAAAAAAGGTTGTAATGTTTGATAAAAAAAATTGATTGATTTTAATGTCATTTTATCTTTGTCTATGACGAAATCACAATTAAGTGTGAAATCGCTGTGACTAATATCAATCATTTCATGACATGAATATGATTTAAAAGTAGCACTACTTTACATATCTAGAAAAGGGTTACCTTGTGGGATTAACAATACTTAATACTAGTTATCGCCTGCGGTATTTCCAGACCTTTGCGACCGTCAAAACTCGCACTCCCACTTTGTGCCACGAACTTGTCACCCTTTAGTTGCAGGCGTTCACGGGTGACGGTATTCTCTTTCTTTTAAGCGAGTCGTCAGCTCCTTTGCCTCCTATTATATATTATACAAACATCATGTGTGAACGTTTTAAGTATTCTCGAAAGTAATATTCGACAGGCGTTCATGGGCGGCGGTTGTCACTTTCCATCAGGTGAGCCGCTTGCTCCCTCTTTCATAAAGAAAAATGAAAAGTGACGTATATTATTATTATCAAGCGTGATATACTTATAAACCAACGTTTCTTCTAGGAGATTATTTCTCTGAGAAAGGAGGGTGGGTGTGTTTCAAATAACGGCTTAAAATTACTGTTTTTGATCGATTCGATTCCAACACATTGAGTGTTTCAGTGTACACCCAAACGGTGTGGCAGTTTCCCATTTGGGTTTTTATGATTTGCCCGTAAAAGCATCTTTGCTGCTAAATAATTCATGTTGAGGCATTAATATTTCCGATTACCCACAATATGAATAATTCCCATTAATGGAGGAGTGTTTCTGCAGCGGTGTGAGTAATTAATTCTCTTTTTGTTATTAAACCTCTTTTGTCAGTTGAGAAAATATCAAAGTTTAAGATTATACGTTTTTAACTGTATTTTCCCGTACTGAGTCTATTTTCACCATAAGCCGTTATTGTTATTTTCTCGATTACGGTCAATAATTTCCACTAAGGGAGGACTAATTCCTGATTCGATACGAGTCATTCTTTATTTAAAAACTAAGTAAAATATTTTTTTCACTTTATTATACTTGTCGTACGTATTGCATTATGCGTCGCGAATTTCTCCAGCCTTTCCTGCCTTTAAAGTTCATTTAACTCGTCAGAGTTTTAGTGATCAGAGATCATAGTTATTGTCTTTGTGTTTAAAAATGTAAGATAATTCAAACAAATTGCCTTGATTTCGCGTACACACGTGGGGTCTAGTGTGGTTATAATAAAGTTGCAAATGTCAACGAAATATTTAAACAAAGTTAAATTACGTTCTTATTCACCAACAGCCTACTCCGTCCACTGCTGGACATAGGCCTCGCCCAGGCATAGGCAATCTTATGTTATGTTAAATAAATAAAATTTAGTTACTTTATTTTTAAACTTTGAATTTTAGCTTTGACTGTTTCCAGGTCAACGTTTTACATTCCTCGGTAATACCGATATTTCTGGAAAACATCATTTTGCGACCACAGACTTAAGCGTAGATGTTTT